AGAGGGAGTCAGGTACAAGAGCAAAGATTCCATCTTGTTCTTTTAATCAAAATCAGTGTGCTTGGGTTCACTGCCTAAAGATTTTTTTTCAAGTTGAGAACTACACCTACCTCACTATTGAATATTTGTACCTTCTTAACTGGAAAAAAATCTGAAAAATGTACAAAGCTGACTGTATTGATACTTTGCATCTGCAAGCCTTCACATTTGCCTTCACAGGGATACTTGCCTGGTAGACAGAAACTCAGAGAAGCAAGCAGATAAAAAATAGTCTCTTCTCTGGACTGCTCATAGAAAACAAGTCTGACACATTTGGCACTAAACCCAAGAATACCAAGATGCCCACAAAATCTCTCATACTGGTAAAAATGCTGCATTAGCAATCAAAAATACAACCAAACCTTGTTGCAAAAAAACTCGCTAGTACCACACAAATGGTATACAGCTCAAAAAACCAGTTTCAATTCTTGTTATCTAAGACAGAAATTACAAATTAGTGCTAGTAAATTTAAAGCCCTTGATTTAAAATGATGTCATCAAAATCAGGGTGAGGGAACATGTAAAGGAAAATACAGATAAAAGACAACTAAATATCTAAGACAGAAATTACAAATTAGTGCTAGTAAATTTAAAGCCCTTGATTTAAAATGATGTCATTAAAATCAGGATGAGGGAACATGTAAAGGAAAATACAGGATAAAAGACACAACTAAAAACAAAAGCCCAAATTATACAAAGCTCCATAAAATAAAGTGGTTGTGACTTTTTTGTTGTTTTGTGGGGGTTTTTTTGTTTGTTTGTTTGTTTGTTTTACTGAAGAGTGTCCCAGAGACCACTCAGACCACCCAGAGGTTGGTTCTGATTTCCTTATATTTGGAATACCTCCATTATCACTAAGGAGCTGTTTAATTTGTGGCAACACACTTGCAGATTAGAAAATCCCATCAGATTTATGAAGCAGATCTAATCCATGCTTAGGAAAAGCAACAAGGAATGCAACCATAGGAGAAAATCCAAAGATTTGGTGGCAAGACCTGCTGTGGACAATGTTTCCTTTGCATCACCTCAAGGAATTGCTTTACTTAGTATTCAGTATTGACACAGGTTGGCAACTATATTCAGGAAAAAAATAATTTTAGCAAATCAGAAAGCAAAACTCAGTGTATCACTTCAGAAAAGTGGAAGGGTTTACAAAAGAATGATCCTAAAACTGACTGTTCACCTTTTCTTACAAGCGTCCTATGGGATAAGATACATTTCAAGTGGAACCTAAAATAAACTCGACTACATCAGCCTTCAAAGGAAAACATTGTGGTTTCAAAAGGTTTTCACTGTAGCATAAAAAACTGAACGTGGCAAGCAGATTGAGCACACAATGGAGCTGAAATTTAATAAATAGCTTTCCATCAGTCAAGGAACTGTGCAAAACCTTGCTATCAGCACTCACATCAAAGACACTATTGACTCTCCTTTATATCATTTTTCTGTGTCTTCTTCTATTTTTATTTACTCTGGGCAATGATTTAAAGAAAAAAAATCAAAGCTTGCTTACCACCTGTATGTAAGACCTTGCAATCTGCTGCTGAAGGGTCATTTTCACCCTCTTTCACATTGCTGATGTTGTCTTTTTCCAGCAGTCTGTCCACCATGGCAATAACACAGTTTAAACTCTTCCCCACGTTGGCCCACACTCTGTCCTGAAAAGAGCATAATTATCACTGCACATCACTGAAGAAGAAAAAAAGAGACAAGACTAACTTCTTATTAACACCTTGGAGACAGAGATGTGCAAATTACTACAAATACTACTGGAAATTTTAGCTGTCAGACGACTATCAACATTTTTTCATGGAGTTTTATCTTGAAGTGTAAATGACTGAACTGAAACCGTTTTGGTTTTTTAGACCCTGGAAAGCCCATGTGCTTTAAACTCTACATGAAAACACATTCAAAGTTTCAGGTCCATTCCCAATATTGACAATCTCTTTCTGACAGTTTAACATACCCTTTTTTATTACATCAGATATTCTGTTAAAGGAAATGTAAAATTAAAATAATTAGAAAATTGCTGTCATGAGATCTTTCTTAGGTAACACAATTTCAGTTTTGTTCTTCACCTCTCACACAAACTGCATCCATCACACTTAACTGAATTTAGAATAAATATAAGAATTATAGAAGAAACAGAGTAATAGAAGAAATTCTGTACAAGCAGAGAACAAAAGGTATAACGGGGTGTGAAAGAGCTGTTGTGGAACAGAGATGAAGGATCCTTCAGGTGCTGGATGCTGCAGAAGTCAAAGCTCTTGTACCTACTTTTGTAGGGCTGAATAAGAAGAAAGGAGGGAAAAAAGAGCTGTACAAGAAATGAGGATGTATATAAGGCTAGCACCAGACTAAAACCAAAAAATAAACCCACAAAACCCCCTCAGGTGCATGTTTTCATGCTGAGTCATTCTGAAACTCAGGCAGAGCAATTTGAGTTTACTTGAGAGTTAAAAAAGCAACTGCTTTTTTATCTACTTTATGATATAATAGCCTGTTCATGCTGAGTCATTCTGAAACTCAGGCAGAGCAATTTGAGTTTACTTGAGAGTTAAAAAAGCAAGGATAATATCACTGCTTTTCTATCTACTTTATGATAGAATAGCCTGAAGCATTATGTAGACATCAGGCCTTGAGGCATAAAAATGGTGTTGTGAAAGAAAATAAGAGAGAAGGTTAAAGAAAAGTATAAACTCAGAGAAATAGGATAGTTCCATATAAATGGTAACACTTGGACACTGGGTACAGGCAAAGTTCGAACTGCTACTAAGGCAAACATTTAAACTAAGATTTATTTTTCATTACTTGCCACACTTCTTAGGCCATTATTCTGCCTAGAAGGATCTGATCTCTCCCCTCCACGTGAGGGCACATCCTGTGACAAGTGGGCATCCTGCTCTGAGGGACATACATGGGCTTGCAGAGAAAAGATTGTACTTGCTGAATCTAGACAACAACACAGAGCCTCTCCACCAGCTCCCAAACCTGATTCCTGGAAAGGAAATACAGGGCTGCCCTAAGGACAAGTGAGCATCTGGTGTTATAGGTGGGTGTAAAAACTTTATTTTGATCCTCTCCCAAGATAAAACCATGTCTTAACCATGCTATGAAAAAGGTGTGGTTGATTTACAAGAGGCAAAGAGCTGGTTGCTCTCATGCAGAACCTCATTTAATCCACAAATTATTTATTTGTTTTAGTATTGCATTTAAAGTGCACCAAGTGGAAATCTCTGCACCTGTACTCATGAAAAAAAACAAACATTAGACATAGGACTATCTGATATTCACATGCATAGATACAATTTAAAGCCAAAGACAGAGGACAGGTATAGATGCCTTCAAAAGTTTTATCCTCTATGTACTTCCAGCATTCCTAAAAAAAATCTTAGAACATGGGTAAAATGATTAATTTTCATCACTCACAAGTTTTTGGGGAAAAGGATTCTATGAAAGCAATGACATATTGCAAATAGCAGAAATTCTGGCCTCATATAGCTGCAAGTTTTACCAGAGAGTAGCAGGGAACTTCAGACATTCTAGTCACTGAAGTTGCTGAGGTGTATAATGAATTCAAGTTGCCCATTGTGGCTGCAGCAACGTAATTTCCCCTTCCTGCCTCTGCTGAGGGAGTTTAATCTCAATACAAAGAGTCTTAAACTCTTAATGAGCATCTGGAGTTATTGCAAAAGCAACACAAACATGAGCTCTTGTTTCATTTTGGAAAGAACACATTTTTCTTCTCCAACCGACTATAACCCAGCGTTGAGATGTCTATACAATATTCACACAAACACTCCCTGAGGGCTTAGAAGCAAAATTCCAAAAACATCTGTTAACAGAAAGCTTGCTCATTATCCCATATCTGGCTTTTTAACATATGGTCAAAGTGAGAGGGAGCCTGTCCTACAGCTCTTTCTCCACGTAGAAGGTTCCTGGGATTGGAAGCTCTCATTATAGCCAGTCAGAAAAAAATAGATGTCTATCATTTATTGTGACATTATTCTGTCTGCACTAAAGATCACCACATTTTTTCAAGGGAGCTGCTGAAATTCTGCAGTTTGGTCAGATCAGTTCTTGAGCAAAAATACTGTTTCCAATCAATGAAAATTAAGTGACTCCCTGTTCTCCTCTGCGAGAAGAAATCCATCCATTTCACATTCTTTGTTACCTCTTATTGTTCCCATAATGTTGTGCTGGTTTTGGCTCAGATAAAGTTAATTTTTTTCACAGTAGCTTGTATGGAGCTATGTTTTGGATTTCTCCTGAAGAGTGTTAACACAGGGACCTTCTGGTTATTGCTGAGCAGTTGATTGCACAGTCAGGGCCTCTTCTGCCTCTCGCATCACTCCACCTTGGAGCAGGCTGGGGGTGCACAAGAACCTGGAGGGGATGCAGCAGGGACAGCTGACCCCAACTGACCCAAGGGACACCCCACACCATGTGATATCGTGCTCAGCAACAAAAGCTGGAGGAAGGGAGGAGGAAGGGGGAGATGTTTGGAGTGGTGATGTTTGTCTTCCCAAGTAGCCGTTAGGTGAGCAGAGCCTGGCTCTCCTGGGGGTGGCTGAACACCTGCCTGCTGATGGAAGTGGTGAATGAATCCCTTGTTTTGCTTTACCTATTAAACTGGCTTTCTCTCAGCCCCAAAAGTTTCTCATTTCCACCCTTCCAATTCTCTCCCTCATCCCAATGCAGGGGGAGTGAGTAAGTTTAGCCCCACTGAGTGTTTGGCTTCGCAGCCAGCTGAGGTTAAACCATGACAAACTTTTTCCTGTAGCCTAGCAAAATTTCCACCCACCTTTCACCATTTTAAGTGGTCTGTTTTCCATTTGCCTAAGAACTACCTGAGAAGTAATCAGTTTGCAGCATGTGCCAGGTTAAAGGGCTGTCCTGGTATGGGGTAGAACAGAACTAATTCTGTTCAGTGATTTTACTTTTCAGCTAAGTCTCTTCTAAATAACTGCATTTTTCACAGACAGTGTCTGCTTCTAGCAGTGATAATGACCCATGTTTAGAGTTAACACCAAGGGTTGGTGTGCAGAAAGGTTCTTGCTTACACTTGCTCCTATGGAGCATGGTCACTGCTAAATCTTGTGCCCCACAGTGGGAGTGCTGCAAAGAAAGAGGTTGCACATGTGGGGAGGAGCAAACAGGACAGGTGACCCTAAACTGACCAGTGAGGGGTTCCATTCCACATACATCATACTCAGGATCAAGCTGAGGGACCACAAGCATCAAGCTCTCTTTTTCAACGTCCAGCATCTGAGGAGGACTCTGTCCATTCTTCCTTCAGTCCCAAGACATGTTTCTGAATCTGGTTCCTGTCTGCTGCCGAGTCCAGGCTGGGACTTGCACAGTGTCTGCTCCACAGCATCAGTGGTGACAGTGATACAACTGCCACCATGGTGTTGGGTTTGATACCAGTTTTGTATATATTTATATATATTCCATTTTATTATTATCATTGATTTCATTAAATATTTTTCAATTTTCTAATCCATAAATCTCTCTCTCTTATTTCCTATGTCTACAAGTCTTGATACACTGAAGTACTAAGACCCTAGATTCCTAAGCACCATGCTACTCCCCTGATACCAGTTTTTCCCACTAATTGGATGGTTAAGTTTACTACTGCAGTGTGAAAGAACAAGAGAAATAGGATCTTGTGCTCTCTCTCATTACCTCTTCTTTAAGCTCAGAAGTCAAGCCAGTGACAGGAAAGGTGGGAATCTAACAGGGCTTGATCCTGTTGGGACAAGGCAGACTGGGACAAGGCAACAACACATTGACATCTTCTATTTCTCCCAACTTTCAGGAGCCATTTGGGATGTTAAGGAGTCCTGGCACATGTAGCTAGGTGTTGCTCATGGCCATAGTTGCACTTCTCTTGCCACCTCTGCCGTGTCACTGGCAGCCATGGATGCATACTCAGAATGATCTCCATAAAAAGCTGGGTACTTGTCTTAAGACATTAAAAATTAACCTGTAAAATAACTCACTTTTATCAACCCAGGCCATAGTTGCACTTCTCTTGCCCCCTCTGCCGTGTCACGGGCAGCCATGGATGCATACTCAGAATGATCTCCATAATAAGCTGAGCCTTGGCATCACAGAAAGCTGGGCACTTGTCTTAAGACATTAAAAAATTAACCTGTAAAATAACTCACTTTTATCAACCCAGTTCAAAAAATGTAATTTGTTTCCATCTGCTCTCAAAGTATCCTTAAAAGGTAATCCAAGTGTCCCTCATTTCAGAGAACAGGAGTGAAAACTGTTTTCCTGTCCTTGCACCTGACTGGATGTTTTCCTTCTAAACCTGCTGTCCAGTGGAGTCCCTTGGGCTGTCTCTTTGTTTTCAAAGAATTCTCACACCTTCTGAAGTCACTGCAGAGCTCCTCAGTCATCTCTTGCCCTTCCACACACACCACTGCAATTGCATGCTTGACTTGTGCCAAGTATGGCACAGCAACTGCACTCCCCAGTGCTCTGAAGATGCTGTATCTCCTTCATGTGGGTGATCACCTTTTATCACCTTAAGGTCCTTTTGAGGTATGCTCATAAGGGAAGCAATTATCTTATGTGCATGATTAACATCCTCCTGTGATGTGACAGTTCTTTGGGATGGAATATAACACACACAGGTCAGTATTTCAGAGCCATTCCTCAGTACTATGTCAATATTTGTACATAACTTATGACAATTGTCTTTTTATCTGTTCTTTGTAGCTCCGATTACATTAAATAGCCAGAAATGTAAAGAAGAAACAGCTCCAAGTGTCAGTGTGCCCATCTTTTCTTCTATTATACATGACAGCATGTATTGCTCCCATGTGTAGGAAGGTTCTAGGATAGCAGAAGGAACTGGCAAGAGAATATCGACCTAGAGGCAGTCTAGAAGTCTCAGGTTAAATGTTCACCAGGAAAGGGTTAATGTCCACCAGCAATGCTTTCCTGCTGCCCACATCCTCAATCCATACTGCTGGCAGTTCCTCTGGGATGAACGTTTGCAGCTGGCATCAAAGAAGTGAGGGGCAACATGGTATTGGTATTGAGGAGTTGGCTTTTTGGAAAACACTGGTCACTCGGTGAAAGGGCACCCTGCACAGTCAGGAAATTGGAATTTATTCCTTAAAGATATATTTGGATGCCAGGGAAGAGGGTAGATCTGGACAGTTTTTAAACACTGCCCTAAATTTACTGTTGTGATGGCTGTAGGGTAATGAAGTCCTTGGAAGTAGATGTAACAAAGTCAGCTTAAAGAGTTCTTGGATGACACTGATTTAGATTTCAGGCAAAACTAAAATTGAAATTCCAGTTTTAAAATGCAACTCTAGTGCTTAATAATGGGGGAGGTGAAACAACAGAGGAGGATGTAGTACTGTGCACACAGAGCAATGTATCTAAAAGGGTTTTTTCCTTTCTAGTTGACTTTCAGAGTAGATTAAGCCTTTTTTCAAAGTTTAAATGCATTTATTCTTTCTTATTTCATCATGCTAATGGCAATTTGATCATTAAAACTTGCATTATTCATTGCCTCCATTGACAGAAAGAACTGAAAAATAATGGCAACTGGATCTTCCAGATTTAGGAAAAAACAAAATTTCTCTAAGATGTATAGTCTCTCGAGTATGACAGTGACTCTGACTCAGTTTAACTCAGCAAATACTTAAAGAGCCACTTAATTTTTATCAAGTAGGTAATCTTACTAATTCAGCAGAAAAAAAAATAGATACACTTTAAACTAATGTGCTTACATCTTTTAACAGATGAGAATCAAGCCCTTGGCAGAAATAAATTTTTTACAAAATCAATAATGAAATACAGTAAATTTAACTTCTCTGCAGAGGCAGAAGCACTAAATTAAAATACAACTTGCACAAGAATGCCATTCTTACCAACACAAAATTTCTCCCTTTTATCAAACCTATTGTGATATTTATTTTTCCTGAATGTTCCAACAGCTGGAAATAAACATTTCAAGGAATTAAGAACCATTCTGGCCACTCAGGTTGCTGAGAAAACATGAAAAAGTTAATTCATGGCTCTAAAACCAGAAGACAAAAAAAAAGGAATGATTTATTTATTGTTTAAATCTCATGACTACTTAATGCATGGGGTTGGAGATAATTGTCCTTTCTCCAGAAGAAATATATTCCTCTTCCCTTATTTGTGCTATGGATAAAAATTACAGTTCAGGTGTAAGTATTGTAGATCACACAGGTTATTAATTATTTACAATCAAGATTAATATTCTGACATCCTTTGCATTTATGAGAACACAGTGATGAACTGAAAATTTGAGCCTGAACTGAATAAAATAGCTAAAGTTCAGGGTGTATGGAACAAAGAAGCAGATCAGTTATGAACACATGCACCAAAATAATTAATTTAGAAAATCTCAGCCTTATAAATAATACAAAACTTTGAAAGATATGCTAAGAATGTTCAAACCTCAAGTCATTTAATCCTTCTGTGCAATCTCAGACATCTGCTAAGAACTGAGTCGAAGGGAAAACAGCTCTGCTTTGCTGAGGGTTCATTTAATGTGTATTTAAACTATATTCAGTCTTGGGGGGGAAATAAAAGAAATGAAATAAAACACAATGAAATAAAATATAAAATAAAATTTTAGAATATTAAGCAAAATATAAAATAAAATATTTTCCCCCATAATAGCACATGTTCTTCCATTGTCCTTAAACCTGCCTAACTAGCAAAAAGAACCCAAATAAGAGCAAAGGAAAACTACATTCCTGTCTGGGCTAGGAGATACTCCTCATCCTCACTGTTACACACATAACCAAGCAGCCACACAGAAACAGGAAAATTCTTTCAAGGTCGTTTCAAAATATACAATGCATCCAAAAAATATTATTTCAAAGTTCTGCATTCCTCCCTGCCCCCAAATACCACATGATGAGAACACTTAGGGATTGTATTTATGCTGATTTTCAGTGTTTAGAATACCAACCAAGAGTTTCTGAGTACTTACCCACTCTTCCTCATCATACTCTGAATGGTGGGGTATAGAGTCCTGTCTTTTAACCTGGGGAGGGTGCTCCTGATGCTGCACATCACCCCCCTCTTCTGCACTGTTCCTAGGCACAGCTGGTTTCTTAAGGACACAGCCAGGCCGGGCTGTGTATAGTGCTAAAAGGGCACTTCTGACCAGCTGATCCTTAAATGCATGCACAAATAGCTCTGTCTAGGAAGAAAAAAAAGAGAAATAAATGAAAAGGTTCAACCCAAGAACGCAATGCTGCAACATGGTATTATAATGTTGAATTACTCCTGGGCATAATGGATATTTGTTTCAGGTTGGCCTGAGAGGCAGAAAACAAAGGACCAACAATCAGTGAGGAATAATTCAAGAGGTTCAGGGCCATCATCACGTTCTTTATAACGTTGAGTTACTCCTGGGCATAATGGATATTTGTTTCAGGTTGGCCTGAGAGGCAGAAAAAGGACCAACAATAAGTGAGGAATAAATCAAGAGGTTCAGGGCCATCCTCACGTTCTACAACCCCAGTGTTCTAAGGATTAGCACAGAAGTACAGTATCTGTTATAGAGATATCATCTTGTCACGCAATCCTGTTGGATTCCAGTTCCAAATTTTGCCTGCAGAGATGAGCCTCTACAAGCAGCAGCTGCAAGAGTAACCAACCACTGCTCAGTAATTTCAAAGTGTCAGATAAAATGTGATTAACAAACTTGAGGATCTTCTTAAATACAGACTCCTCTACGCTGCTGAGATGTGGTCTCTGCAAAAAGTGTTTCCAGAGGTAAAGTTTTGTACATGTAGGTATCAACCCAGATACCATGGCAGGTGATGACACCTGAATTCTAGCTTTACTTTATTTATCTTTAAAGAAAGAAAACTGTGAAGTAGTTTTTCCAGGCTCTCTGAACATTTCTTCCCATGTAATTTTTCTAAATCATCCTCTCCCCAGTCAGAGGCTTCCATTCACAGATGATATTGTTTTGCATTTCTTTCACAGCAAAATTACCTGAATTTTTTTATCCTGGGTCAGTGGGATACAGTGGGATCCTATTTACCCAGATCAGAGTGGATTGTCCTGTGCAGATTCAGCTGCTGAACTGCCTTTGTGAACACCATCTTAATTAAACAGGCGTGTGGAAAAGCCTGTAGGTAAGAGTCAGAGCACCCTGCCTGAACCAGCAATCACACAAAGCTGCAAATGCTAGAAAAAAAAGGTTGCCCAGCCAAGCTTCATTCAGCCCTTCCATGCTTCTTATGCAAAACCTGGGGAACTAGCAAAAAACCCCAAACCAACAAGTTTCAAGTGTCAGCATCTGTCTTCCTGGAAATCTTTCTCCCAGTTTCTGCACTTCTATTTGTATGACTTGCCTTAGAATTAATACTTGCTCCCTTTTTGTATGCCTCTAACTCCTACTCAACTTATTTTTCTCACTTCCCTGACTCAATACCTCTTCAAAATGTTTGCTGACATTTAGACCATAATGCTCTAAATAATTGATGGTTTCCTTAAAGCTCCAGAGAAGTTTCTTTTTTCTCACATTTTCACCACATTTAGGAAAACAGGTATTTCTGATCCTCAGTGGTTGCACATAGAAAGGCTGAGTATCTGCTGCAAACAAAACTCAAAAGTTTTAAGAACTGTAGGGATAAGGTACCATCTAAGCTAAGTTATGATTTTTTTAAACCAACATCAGGACTTCTGAAAGCTGAGGTTTTGTACCTTCCCTCCCCCTCAAAGACTGCCCGAGATGATTTCAGGTCTTTGCATCAGGCATAGTAGACAAAAAAAACCTTTAAATTTCAGAAAATTGTAAGTATTGGACAAACTGAAGTAAGAAATGTCAACTATGATTGCAATTAGGCAACTATCTGAAAAGTTTCAGTAATTTAAAATAAATATTTTAAAGGGAAAATTCATTTCAAAGAGCAAACTGGTGTGAAAGCAAAGCTTCATTTTTTTTTCCTATAGAGACCAAAATGTTTCTGTAATTAAATTCCTTTCAGGGATTCCATTGGTGTAATAACAATCTACATTCTAACTGCATTTTCTTACAGCTCAGTACAGCTAAATTTGCAGAACATCACTGTTTATAAAATTGTATTGAAATCACAAACCAAGTCTATACAAAGAAGTGAAAACTTTGCAAATTCTTTTAGATACTTGACTGAAGAATATTTCTGCAAACAAAGATAGGCATGGCTGGAAAATGAATTTATCAGGCTTTCTGCAAGCTGCAAATGCTGATAGACTTGTCAACAGCTAAAGGCTTCCTTAATCAATTAACAGGGAGTGTTGATAAAAGGTTAGTCTCAGGAAAACACTACAGTAAATTGCAAATCATATATGGAGAAGTAAAACCATGTTTAATATGAGAAAACAAGCTCAATTTAAGAAGCAGCAGTGGAATTATTTGATGCAATTTTCCACTTTCAATGCATGGAGCCAGTCCTTCCATTTCTAACATAAATACTCAACTGTAATTCACATTATTGATAGCTTAGATACACTCACTGTTATCCAAGGTTTTCAGAAAGAATTATTCTACAGATCAAGTTCAACATTACCTTAAAAGAAAATTATTTGCTTTCTAATAAAGTTGAGAAATTTAATCACCAGGGAAATAATTTTTTGGGACTTCTTCAAACAGCTGATTAATTTCTAAATTTCTATCGAGTCAAAGTGCAAAAGAGTATTTCTTTTTTATATATAAAATGCACACAAAAGGTGGGAGAGCTGAAGCACCTCATATGTCTCAAGAATACCACTAGGCATCACAGAATACTTATTCAGAAGAGCATGTCAGCCTGTCTTAAATACAACCAGGGACTCTCCTCCCTTCTTTCCAAGCAGCTGTCCCTCCACATGAGCTTCCTCAGCAATGGTCCTACCCCCTTTCCCAAGTATCATCCTCTCCACAGAGTAAATTTGGGACTAGACAGGGAAGGAGGTATTCAACCATTCATGCAGCAGTTTTTCAGACAACTGGATTCATCTCTTCCAAGCAAATGGTGGAGGTTAGATAGGAACTATGGGCAGCCATGTAAGGGTGAGACTCCTGCTTCCACTTTGAAATTGTCCATTTCTCCTGCACAGACAGGCAAAGGCAGGAAGAGCAAATGGCTACAGCTAGCAGAAAAACTCCTTAGCAACCAGGTCTTGAATCTCCAAACACCACTTTGCTTGCTTTGCTTTACTTGTGCCTGTGTATTTCTTTGAATTAACCACAGAATCATAGAATCCTTTAGTTGGAAGAGACCTCCAACATCATCAAGTCCAACCATCAAGCACTAACAGAACTGCTCCACTTTTTCTACGTGCAGCTAAAAACGCCCTCCTTCAGCACTACATGGAAAGGTATGCTCTAATTGCCACAAACCCCTACTAAATTCCTCCACTTCATCCCCAGGCAGAATTCTACTTGCCAGTATTACCCCTGACGTTCTCAGCAACTCCAGTATTCTGGGAGTGACTGTGGATTCCCCCATCTGTAACAGAGAGCAGCGTTCATCCCCCCCGTGGCTGCAATGCAGGGATTTCACAGGATGTGCCTGAGCTCAGGACTCAGATTTGAAGCTCTCCCACTGAACGAGGTACTGCTGTGATAATAGTGCTCGACAGACCACAGGGGTTGCCACTTCCCAATAGCTGAAGATATATGGAAATGGTTATTGATAGTGTTATTAAGCCAGATTGAGATCACGCTACAGAAGGTATGGCCCATGAAGCGATGGGAAACTTTTTTCAGTCCCTCTGGTCACAGAGTGCTTAATATTTTGATAGGATAACACATGCTTAAAGAGCTCTTCAGACTTCAGCTAATCTCCAGTATCGCTCCATGAGGCAGGTGGAAAATATTATCTTCCTTAATTTAGAGCTAAAGAAACTAAGATGACGAAGAGCCCTACAGCTACAGAAGAATACCACAGGAGAAAGAGGATTAAAACTTGAGACCTCCTGGTGCAAGCTCCCTAGCTTCTCCTTCCAGACTGCAACACCATTTCTGATCATCCTACTCCTCTCAACCTGGCTTCAACTACCTCCCACAAGAAGCAGCTTGAATATTACAGAAAGAGAAATCAACCAAAATTATTTACAATAATCTATTTTTGATAAACCCCAGTATGTGACCACTAGAGGATAACAGACAGAGGAAATTAAATTAATTAGACTTTCAAATAAAGACAACTTTTACAGATTTCATTAATTTTCTACATGGAAAGCCTACAGAATGCTAAATAATATTCTGTTTCTGATAGCAACATTTTGAAGCTTATTTTAGCAGAGCTTATTTAACATTTCCTGATGCTATAAAAGTCAATTTATGCAGAAAAAAAAAACAACCCAGCAGTTAGAGACTTGGTTATTCCATTTTCCATTGCAGGGAAGATTTGAATCTTACTTTTTCTGAAAGCATCTTTAAAGAATTTTTCAAGCTGTCTGGAGAATGCTGGCTTGCAGAATTAAGCAGCAGGTCTGCATGGCTTGATATGAGAGGTTGTAGGTGATTGATGTTGCTGAGAACTTCTTTTGCCTTGGCTGTGTTTTCAGGGGAATAGTAAATACACTGGTATCCAGTACTGTAATACAGAGAAAGAGTCACATGATGTCAAAATAATTTCTGCTGTTAATAACGATAATTAATAAATCTTACCACAAAAAGATTTGTCTACAATTTTTATTTTATTTCTAAGGAAAAATTTAAAAAAAATAAAATTTTAAAATAAGATTTATTTTTCCAGCTAAACTCTCCATCACACTGTTAACTACCTCACTATGTCTTCCAAAATGAGTCATTAATTAATTGATCAGAGGCACACGCTATGTTTTGATTAGTATCAGTGATGTCCAGGAAGTGCTGACAACCAGAGTGATCTCCAATAAAAAAAAGGTGTCTAATTTGCAAGAAAAGACACAGAAATGGGATGTTGGAGTCAATGACTACAAAAGCACAGAAATTCATCCTGCAAAATTCCTACTTTCCTTTTAACTGTTCACAAACTACTGCAATTCTTCAGCATGACTTCTCTTCCTAACCCTCAATTTCCCCCTAACATTTAATAATATGCAATATCCTTTTATATCAACTGCCTAGCTGGTTCTGTATCTATCTCCCTTCTTCCTTCTTGTGTCTTTTCACCATACATCCTTCAGCCTCTTCTACCTTTTCCCCACTGACTTGATTTCTTTCTTAATTTCACATATCAAGACCTGAATTTTGACACTTAGTGCAATCCTTTGAACTTCAAACACTGCTTTTCATTTCAGTCTTTTTCCAGAGCTCTTCACTTCCCCATTTATCCCCTTTGTGTCTTCTAGTGTCCTTTCCAGTTCCTCCTCATTAGTTCTCTACAAATTAGAAATTAAATTTAATTCAATAAAGGACATAATGCACATTCAGAAGCCCAAGTGAAGTCACTTCCATAAAACCTAAAAAGCTTAAGTCTTTTGGCAAATAAGGATAAATTCAAGCATTCTCAAAATTAAGCCTCTTGCTTAGATACTTCACTGAGTTACAGTCCAAATTCCACAATACCTTGTCCTATTTTTCTGTCTTTTCACCAACGTCTCCATTTTTAGCTACAATTCTTTGGAGAGGCAGTCAGGATGAACAGCATCTGAGTCAGTGAGGCTTTGCCATTATCAGTCATGCTACCAGCCACATCAGAATCACTGTCTCCAATTTGAAGTCCCCTACATGGGCAGCTAGACTGCTGAGTGCAGAGGTCAGAATTCTGAATATTTCAACAAAATGAATTGTATAAGCTGTCTCTCCAATGAATTGGGAGAAAAACCCTCCCTGTCCCTCTGAGAAACGAGGAAACATTGCTACAGCTTTGCCTTCAAGGTGGCGACAGTGAAATGAACTTCCAAAGTTAGATTTGTCTCTACATGCACTGCAACTCTCAAGCCCTTCGACTCAGTAGACAGGGTAGAGAAAAAGAGTAATATTCTGTGCTAACTAGAGCAAAGACAGTCTTAGAAGTCTTGATACTTCACAGTGCTGAATAATCTTCTCTAATTCCCCTTTAGGCTTCCCCCTCTCTTTATCAAACACCCTTTTTTCAGGCTGAATCTGCCTAACACTGTTATCAAGCTCACCATACTCATGCTCCTTTCTGGGATTTCCCCTCAGCCTTTAATTCCCAGATAATTTTCACTGATCTCCCATAGCTCTAAGCTTCACTGAATATTGCAGCAGAAAAGGAACAATGACATAATAAAAGAAAGAAGGAAGAGAGATACTAAACCCATGGGTCGTTCTCATTCTAATCAAGTCAGTCCTTGCTTTTAAATAAAGAAAATAATGAAGAGAGAATGTCTCTCCTCAGAATGGAGTGTTTCTACCAGACCTCATTATTTGGCTAATTTTAACATTTCCTGAATCCCAAAAAGCATGAGAAGACTCAAAATATTCATTTTTTTTTTCAGAATTTGAGGGCAACTTCCCCTGTGCCCTCAAGAATGTGCATAATTATTTTTCAGAAACAGTGTATTTGGGAGCATCTGAGAATTCCAGTTGTTGTGTCTCAACACTGCTGCATCTGAGCCTAGCCTGAGATTTTCTGCTGCCTTACTGTTCATGAAAAAGCATTACTACTTCCAATTCACTGAAATTAGTTTCCTTATAAATAACTACTTTTAGAGCTTGCTGCCACATATAGCTATGGTATATAAGTAGTATTACTTAAAAAAAGAAGCTGCCAATAGAAACTTTTCACACATGTATTAATGCAGAAACCAGATGAAGGGAATTACAAAAAAGAATAAAGTTTTGCACAAGGCCAAAGGCCGCATGGGTAGGTCCAATGTGGGAAATCAGCAGCACTATGAAAACCTACCTTTGGTATGTAAAATACATTATTAGTCCTGTAACTTTTGAAAACCTCTATAATAATGTCTTCTGGGTTCAGTTTCAAAGCTGTCACTGGGCATATAAAATGACACTTAATCATTTCCATATATTAACACCATCATTAACCATGTACATATCTGCCAGTGGTCATTTCAGATTTAAAATTGCTTTAATGACATCGTCACGGAATTTGAATAAAGATTACATTGACTACATCTGCAATTTTAACTCTGAATTAACAAAGTTTTTCCTGGGAAGAAATACTGCAATATGCTAAATGTCTAATTTCTAATGACACCCCGAGTAACTCCACTCCTGCTGTTAACCGAGTAATTTGTGTGACTGAGTTAAATTGTCACCATCTGGGGCTGGCTTAAAAATCTTTCAACAATGAACATTTGACCTCGCATTTTTCACGGTCAGACGTTGACATCAAGAATGCAGTTAAAGCACACACAGCAAGAACATCTACCCCCAGATAACCTCGAGCTTGTGTACATCACTGAAGATATCAATCCAGTGGCTTATTTATGCATCGCATGCATTCTGTCTAAAGTGAGAAGTTATGATCAAAAATAAATAGCTACATAAAAAAAAACCAACAACTTAGGACAATTTACTGCCTCAGGAAATAAAATTAAATTACATATGATCAGTGCTGAGGTTTTGAAAATAGGCTTGAGAGAGATCACAAGTTCAGATTAATTTTTTTAGTTTCCTTAAGATTCCCTTGCCTATGTGGAAATTCCAACTTTGAATCATGAGGAAAAGGAAATTAAGTTATTAGTTCTGTCATCTATCTTTACTCATGAAGTCCAGATGTCCACAAATCCTTATCCTGAAGCAGTGGCTAAGGCCCTATGCACAGAGTTTCATGGATCCACTCTCCTCCTGTCACTCCTGGAGTCCATGGAGATGGAACAGTTTCTTGCTCTCCAAAACACGTGATCCTTTCCAATCTTCACATGCAAAGCCCCCCCAACTCCTCCTTCCCTTCTTTTTTTCCAGCCCCAGCCCCCTTTCTTTTATGCCTGCTTAAGGAAATGCTTCAGGCAATTCTGTCCAGAGAGCCTAGTGGCTGGAAAATACTGTGATGAGATTTTTACATCTCAATGAATAGCACAAACTTTGGCAGCTTTTCAGCCAAAAGAACCAATTTCAACAACCTTAATATACTGATTTTCTGGTCAGTGAAAAAAAAAAAATGCTCATCTCCATGAAGTCTAATCTCTCTTTCTCACACACACATAGATATGCACACAAAAATAAGGGAAAGTGAGCAAAGAATAATGCCTCTGTGAAAAGTGCTGCACGTGAGAGGCTCTGGTTTCCCCTTGAGAATAAAGATTGCAATTTGATCAAACAAATCATTATTTCCACATCTCTGGGATTTTTCCAGGTTCCTCAGAGAATGGAAACACTTGAAGGTTTATACAACTCAATTATAACTGGAACCATGAAGATCTTGGTGTCAATAAAATCTCTGGTAATCATAGTATGTCTGGGCCTCCAAATCTAGGCCTTGTCAAACAAAAAAGGGCCCTTTCAAATGGTTCAAACTGAAAATAAATGATTATGGCATCTCTGGGATTTTTCCAGGTTCCTCAGAGAATGGAAACACTTGAAGGTTTATACAACTCAATTATAACTGGAACCATGAAGATCTTGGTGTCAATAAAATCTCTGGTAATCATAGTATGTCTGGGCCTCCAAATCTAGGCCTTGTCAAACAAAAAAGGGCCCTTTCAAATGGTTCAAATTGAAAATAAATGATTATGCTTTTAAAAAAAACAAACATACAAACAAACCAGAAATAAAATTTCAAAACACAAACAACAGAAAATCCTTTTCAGTACTATTCCAGCCTTAAGCTTGTCCTAACTTAAAGGAGGATTATTTCTAAAAAACTTGCTAGAAATGGTGTACAAAACCACAGTGAAAGGCAGCACCACAAACAACAGAAAATCCTTTTCAGTACAATTCCAGCCTTAAGATTGTCCTAACTTAGAGAAGGATTATTTCCAAAGAACTTGCTAGAAACGGTGTACAAAACCATAGTGCAAGGCAGCACGTGACACAGCTTGTGGGACACCTCTCTTTTTCTTGATAGTCTGGGGCATTAGAAACTTTGTAATCATAAGTCCATATATTTTGGCTAAAACAGAGATCATGAAATTAGAGTTTAAATTTAAAAAAACAGTTGTTGTTGTACTTTCAAAGTGATTTATGAACACTCCAAGCAGTGAGGCATTATGTGTGTATAACTTATGGAATGTCTCCCTTAAACGTTCCTGCACAACTGAGCTCTAAAACTAATAATTTGCTGTGCCATCTAGAGTGATGAGAAGACAAGCCCTTCCATTTGCTGGAACGAGGACTAATCTATACTAGCAAGCCAACAGAAGATTGAATCTGAACAACTGACTGACTTTCTCTTTATCTGGAAATGATGAAGAAAAAAAAAATCAAAAGAATAAACCAATACAGCATTATAAAAAAAAATATTCCAAAATAGAAGTGTCATACATAGATAATTAATATTCTTAGTCTAAGTCTTGCTTTTCATCTGAAAGAAAAACTTTTCTCCCTATTATCTGAGATAATATTTTTAGAAGTGTATCTTTGTTTCCTCTTTTTATACAGCTTGCTTGGTGATAACGAGTGATAAAAAAATCCTGCAAAAATACCAGATTCTTAATATTATTCTATAGAGTTTTCCCTTCTTTTGTCTGCACAAAAAAGTATATTCTATGTAACAGAAAATATCCCAGACCTGCCTTCAGATATACGTTTTCCACATTCTTCCCTTTGATAAACTTTCATGAAACACGTTTCACTCCTGTTTTGGTTTGGCAATTGCAAATGCAATTACTCTTGCCAAGTGGGATATAACCTTGCTACCATTTAACAGTTCCTCTTGTCTGTTAATTCCACAGGCACAGGTTTGAGCAAGGAATATTTTGTGATGTGCTGACACTGCTGAATATTTCAATAAGCTGTTCTAATAACCAGCCTGAAGGTCGAAGGCGTGCAAGGCATTCTGTCATCTGCACTAACAATGTCTGGAAAGCTACTGGGATTGGCTTGAGAAATTATCTATTCCCAGATCTTCCTCTAGGTCTCCAGCTCAGTTAGCCTGGAGGAAACGGCTGCTAAATCTGCATTTTTTCCTGTTCATTTTATATTCTGACTGATATCTCAAGGTGTCACTTCTTCCTTCAACCGAATCTTCAGAAAAGCTGCTCCCATTGTAAAACAGAACATTGAAAATGTAAAAGCTGCCCCTGGAAATGGTATGTGTCCTCAAAGCACCCTCCTGCACTTCAACAAGCAGGTGTGTACAAAATAAAAGTTGTCATGGCCACAGTGAAAGAGATTTCTCCGTGGTAAGAATGGGAAAGGCCCTTTCAGGTAGCTATTTAAAATAGACCCACTCTTGAATATTCAAATCAGTGCGACCATATTCAGATCTTGCTTGTTCCTGTCTTCTGACTCACAAAAATTCTTCTAGCTGAAGGAAAAAAAAACCCCTGAACCACAAATAAATGTGGAGTTTTCTCTGAGAAGCCCTCAAAGATAGAAGGGAAGATGAATTTTGAAGGTTTCCTCTTTTCTACTTCATGGGAATTCAGACACTGACTGTTTCTCCAGGTCTGGCAGGTGATTTGCTAAAAATTGCAGCCCTCTGTTTTCAGTGCTCAAACTTGAGTTTTTTAGCTTGACTCAGGGCTCTTTATTTAGGATGAGTCTGACAGAATAGTAACAGCTACCCTAGTTATACCATCCTAAAGACAGATCTTTGCTCTTCCAGGGGAACAAAGAAACACCAAGGAAACTGCACTGTCAGGGTAAAGGTCGTGTCCCACCCTTGGAAGCCACCAAAATAGAGGTGCTACTGAGGGATGCTAAAAAAGTCTGAGAAGCAGGGCAAATATAACCTGCTCTGCAGGCACTTTGAAATGCCTTGACAAAACCTGCACAAAGCTCTGCCCAGTACTGAACACAATCGTCTGTTAATTCAGAAGGTTGCATGGTTGAGTCAGTGAAATAAGAGTGAGTGAAACTGAGAAGAGGCTGTGCTGCACAGAATGTCCTTTGCCATCCCATCCCTTCTGACCTGTAACATCCCACAGGATCCAAAGAAAGGAGTCTAGCCCATCATCATCTCTTCTATTATGGGCAACTAAGAAACAAGGGTACTGTCTACTAACTCCTGTGAGATACTGCAATATCTGTTCTCCCAGGAAGAACTCAAGAAAGACTAGGTTTCTTCCTTAAAAAGCCTTTTGTTTTTTTCTACAGTGGACAGAAATCACAGATCATTTCAAGTTTGCCTCGCAGCTATCTTCCATTTTGGAAAGTCACCTTCAGCCAATGTGGATATGCCACAGGCCCGTGTGAGTGAGAAATGCTTTGTTTTCAGAAAGCTGAACACTGTGAGGACTGGAGCTGTTCTTTATGTCACCTACAACTTTAATTTTTCCTTATGAAGTATAGTAAAAACCCACTAAATACTATTGCAACTATATTAATCAGATAGGCACCTAACAGAATGGGCACCTACTGTTAACACAAAGTCCATTCAGGGGTCTCATATGACCAATGATGTCTGTGTTTCATTGCCAAATTTTCATAACAGCAGTGGCCAGGAAATTGAAAGATCTTAGAAGATTTAACAGAGCTTTTATGTCATGCAGTGCAAACAGAAAAAAATAATACCACAGTTTTCAAAGTTAATATATCTGCTGTTTTTGGTTGGGTGTTAATATTGATGCCATGCTCCAGTCAACTTAGAAGTCAACAGAAATTTTTTATAATTCCTCCTTTGATTCTGTACTGTACCTATGGAACTTTTTTGAGCATTAAATATGATGGAATTAATTTTCTGTGGAGCACCATGAGGATTTAGATCTGCACACATACAGTATTTCCTGTATTCCCTTTTGAATGCTGTGCCACTGATTGCATGAGGTTGGCACAGTTACTCCAAGCATTGAGCAATCACAACTATAGGTGCTGCCAGTGACAGCTGTAGCTGCTTGAAACTTCTGAACAGCCATAGCAACAAACTGAGTTAGCAAAATATGCAACTAACAGTTCTCTACATGTTCAGTGGTTAACAAAATATTTGAGTCCAGCAATAAAGTGAAGTCCTAGCTTAGGCCTTTTATCTTTGCTTAGTCTCATTTTGGCTTTCTGTAGAATAAGAAAGAGAGTAGTTTCTTGTTTACTTCACAGATGCACTAAAACAAATGTAAAATAAAAGATGTGCTAAAAGATATTTTTTTGCTCACATATGCCCAGGGCTGTCAGAAATGAAGAGGCTACCTTCAGCTGCTGTTTCTTTATTGAAAAATTGTCTAAAGCTACTTTCCAATAAGCACAAGAATCACCAGAGTGATATCTCATTCTGAGCAGCACGTTCCCAAGCACTGATATTCCTCAAGCTTCCTGAAATGCAGCAAGAAAATGTCACAATTTGGGAGTTTGCAATCAAAATAATTCTCGACACCAAAAGTAAACTGTGCTTCAATTTTGCAGTCCAGCAAAGCAGGGAAGAGAAAGGAAATATTTTACGAATGCACCCTTGTCCAGTCCTACTAGATTTTAATATTACATTAATTCAGCAGGGTGAACTGTTTCATTACTGAGTGAGTTGACAATTTCCTAACACAACTCTTATTTTTGAGTATTATCTAGTATTTTCCTAGCTGCTCACAAAAATACTTACTTTCGTCTTTCTGCCTCAAATTTACTCAGCAGTTTTCGGAGACCACCGTTCTTAAATCCTTGGAAGTGTGCTGCTGGGGCTCCCACAGTGATGACATCATAGAGAGCATCTGGAACAGGAACAGACAAGCACAGAGATTTGCATGCACCTACGCCCAAGGGATGGCAACACTCTGATGTCTGCTCCAGGAGACATGAGGATAAGTAGTCTCTATTATTTCCAAGGAAGAACTGAGAATCTGTCTCCCAAGAGCTCTTTCCACACAGCCACCTGAACACCTTAGAAAGTTCATCTGATTTATTGCTACACCTAAATTGTATGCCACAATGCAGAGCAATAACTCTGCAGTTTACAAAGCTGCCAAGTAAATTGGCCTTTTGTGTATTTCACCTTATTACTCCTTCCATTATTTAACTTGTAGTCGTGTTGAGATGCACAGACTCATGCCTTTGGGAGGCCATTGTGATGGAACAGTCTGACTGCCTGGATAATACAGGCTAAAGAACTCCAGCTAATGATGGCTGCATCAAGTTTATGTCTTCTGGTTGAGTGAAGGCATCTTTTATTTTTTTATTTAAAAAAAAAAAGACTTTTAATCTTGATTTAAAGCCCTCAAGTGACAATGCATTCACTGCACGCTCAGAGAAGTTGCTCCAATGATTAATTAATCTGCCTGGTAAAAATCTCCACTTATTTTCTAGTTTGAATTTGTTTAGCTTCCGCTCTCAGACATAATTACCTGTTTAATGCTAAATTGAAGAGCCTCATTCTATGACATATGTTTACTTTTTATATGTTTACAAACACAGAGCAAGTCAATTGTTTTCAGCTGAAAAGCTACCAGAATGGGAAATAAACTAAATTATTGAAATTCTTGCTGAGGCAACAAATGATTGTTGCTCTCTATATACCTGATGTCTTATGAGATACCAGATGAACTTCTTCCATGGATGTACACTTACAGAACTGGAGATAGAACATCAGCCTCTGATTTTGTGCCTGTGATTGACTGTCAGTGCAGAGATGAAGATTTAATTACATCCCAAACCACAATAACTATTCCTTTCAAGTTTTAAATTTGTATTTGCACTGAGCAGTACCTGGTTAGTGCCCGAGCTTAATGGAGGTATAAAAAAATACAGGTCAAAGTGCCTCATTCTTATAATGTATTTCTAGAGGAAACATTGGAGGATTTTTTGTCAACTATTTTATTCATTAAGGAAGCTTGCCATGTAAATTAAAATCTAATTCTCTCCCAAAATAGAACTTTTCTTGCATTCTGATGATAAATATCCCCAGAAGCAAGAACACTGTACAAATGATTCACAGTTAATGAACTATGTTTTACTTCCAGAGCTGAATCTCAAAGCATATTTGCTCAAATGGATTTGAACTCTAATGAACTGGTGACTCTTCAATAAAAGACGTGACAATTTCATTAGCCTAAGATGAGCTTCACAACTCTTATATAGCCTGATTTTGCACATCTTCATATAGATCTATCCGTAACACATAATCTTGGGCTATTAGAGCTCTACCAGGACTTGACAATAAGTAGTTCTATTGCTTAAAACAACAGTGGCTTGAAACCGAAATAGCAGATGAACACACCAGGTTAGCTGAACAACGGCTTCTGAATACGTTTACTCATGAAACTATGAAAAAAAAGCACTTTAAAGACTAAACTCTGTCGGTTTTCTGACTTTATTTTAAAAATAAGCAGTGATCCTGCTTGTAAGAACCTGGAGGGGATTTACTCTGAAGGAAGCTTTCATTCAGCCTGTGGCCTCTTCTCAGCACGGTCAAGGAGCAGCTGTTTGAAACACAAACAAGCCCAGAACATCTGAGCATCTCCTCATGCAAGGAAACACAGGAGAGTGAGGGTAGCAAAGAGCAAAAGGTCTCCAGTCCTGGTGATGGGCTTGGGGCAGCCTTGTTCTTGCTTTCCAGAGACTCAGGAGGAACGTCTTGTGATGTGCTCCACCTCAACATCAATGCAGCTCCTTGTGAAGGACATGCAGTGTCAGCATGAGTGCACTGGTCCAGGAATGCTCCAGCAACTCTCAGCCACCATCCACTCCAAGAACACACTGCTGCTGACAACTCTACACTGGAGGCAAAGTTGAAAGTGCAGCAGCCTCAGAGGAGCTGTATTGTATTGCCAGTGTGCTCCCCTAAAATTATTATAATGTTAAAAAAAATCCCCAACTTTCAGCTCTTCCTTAAATACTTCAGAATCTGAAGGAAGAAAATGCAAAAGAATATAGTGCAAGGAAATTGAGCTTTAAATCAATCATAATTTCATACTCATTACTCAAAGATACACTTACCTCCTACTTATACAAATGAAACGCTACCACCAGTGACACTCTCACCAAAAAAACAATTCCTTCACCATGAAGAAATAAACTAACTGCTCATCACTCTCTCCTGGAAAAAAACCCACAGGGACAGGGGGACAACCACAGCAACCTGGTAGAAGTTCCATTAATATAAGCCTTACCAGACCAATTTAAAGAACTGAGGGATTTTTTTACCCCCTTCTAAGTCTCCTAGTCTATGTTCCAGATGCCCTTTGATATATGCCAAATAAAGCATGAGAAAGACCAACGAGATGTCAAAATGCTGCTTACTCCAGAATGATCAGTAATTGCTACAAACTCTTCACACTGAACATATCTAACACAAGACACAGCTCTTTAGTGCTCATAAAATGAAACTTCAGTGAACTAAACAAAGGGGGCAGTGGCCATCTAATAGATAGAGAAATCATTTACCCAACCAAAGGCCATAAGAACAATCTTCAATTATTTTTTGTTATATTTACACTATAGTGCTACCAAAATATAACATATTGAAAAGCCCATTTTGTATCTAGAGAAATAAAACGAGTTCTCCGTAACTAAGATATCAGTTTTCCAAAAATATGTGTAAGCAGCAATTAACATTTTGACATTTCCAAACTTGCCTCTAACAAGAAAAGGGTACTCATGTCAGTGGAGTGAACGTTGAAGAAAAAAGGGAGAGTTTTATAATTTAATACAAATTTCTAAATTTGGAAGATAATTCTTAACATTTATCGCTTTCTGTACCCTTTTCAATTGTGGATTAACCACATGCCACAAGAGAAGTGGTTTTGGAGAAGAAAGGAGAAAATTCATTAAAAACTAAACAAAACCCAAGTATTGTAAAGGTTGTGAGTGATTAAGTGGCATAATTCACTCCACTTTTTTATTTAGCTAATAAACATACAACTCCCTGTTCGTACTCATGTCAGTGGAGTGAACGCTGAAGAAAAAAGGGAGAGTTTTATAATTTAATACAAATTTCTAAATTTGGAAGATAATTCTTAACATTTATCGCTTTCTGTACCCTTTTCAATTGTGGATTAACCACATGCCACAAGAGAAGTGGTTTTGGAGAAGAAAGGAGAAAATTCATTAAAAACTAAACAAAATCCAAGTAGCGAAAAGGTTGTGATTAAGTGGCATAATTCACTCCATTTTTTTATTTAGCTAATAAACATACAAGTCCCTGTTCCCAGAGGGGTTTTCTTGAAAAGATATAAAATTAAGGTTCTGGCCACCTGTAGTCATTGAAAACCTAAAAATGCTTTTAAGTTAATTAATGAACTCCAAAACATCAGCTAAATTAAAACTCATTCACTCATATTCTTCCACTATAGATCCCCATCTTGATAAAATGCTCAGAGGCACCATTTTTTAGGAAAAGAAATAATGAACTCTTGAATAAACACACAATCTAGCAGACAGTCAGAAGTCCCCACGTTCCAACTTGGATGTGGATGAATAGCAGCAGCACACAGCATAATACTCCTATAATTATTGTTTGCACTCACTGTTTTACAATCTGCTTAGATGCAGAGTGTATTTCTATGGCAAAAGCCTTACAGAGTGTAACTTCTGTGTTTCTACAGTGACAGCAAATTTAATAGATCATAATTTATCAACAAATTACCCACTGTACTGTGATTTGCTTGTATGTATGTATCTATAAATGATTATTCTTTTGTCTGTAAAGGATGCTGCTAAAATTATATGTAAGCAGCAGCAACAGAACTCTGCACTAAACAGAATCACAGATAACATTCCAGAAAATTACCCCCCTTTCCAGAAGGTATTAGAACTTTGCAGTATTTTCATACAACCAGTGAAATATTTTCTCTTAACACTAAGCAAATGCTGACATGGCACAGGGTAGCACTGAATAAGCTGATTTAGGCACAAGCAGGGCTGGGCTCATTAAGGCTTCCTAAGAAACATAATATATTGAGTTTAGAAATAACCCTGTCCTTGGTGGAACCCTGCAACTCTCATCACCTAGGTTGGTGAGTTCATCTTGGCAGCCTCTGGGAGGAAACTTGTGCTCTATCACTATCTCTGGTGGCACAGTGGTGGGGGGGGGAAAAAAAACACAAATCCCTTAGAAACAAGACAGGCAAGATTGGCTTTTACACTACACTGACATCATGGATCCCAATGAAAAGTTAAGGTCCCTAGAAGGACAAGAGTGTCCCTGAACATTGTGCAGCGTGTCAGGAAGGAAACTTGTGCTCTATCACTATCTCTGGTGGCACAGTGGTGGGGGGGGGAAAAAAAACACAAATCCCTTAGAAACAAGACAGGCAAGATTGGCTTTTACACTACACTGACATCATGGATCCCAATGAAAAATTAAGGTGATGCCCTAGAAGGACATGAGTGTCCCTGAACATTGTGCAGTGTGTCAGGATGAATCCTTACAGTATTAGTCCTGCACTGCTACAACACAGTATTTTTAACCATGCATACATTACCAATCTATTCCAGTGAACACACAATTCTGCATTTAACCATGTGTTTGAAGTGTCAGAGAAACAGAACAAACACAACACCCCTGGAATTTATTTTCAAGAAGAACTTTAGGTAACGGCTCCTTAGTTTTCCAAGATCTGCAGCCAGCATCCAAAACTTCCAGCTTTAGAAAATGAGGTAAATAAACTGTTTGCATAGCTTTAACTTTGCACCTAAGTTTTGGCACAGACTCTGGACTCCTCCTCAACCTTAGCTGCAGTATGTTGAGGTGCAGGTTCCAGAATTTGTAGATAAATGTGGAGGGTGGGCAAGCTGGTGACTTCTTTGATCTCATCATTTACCTAAGTGTGGTCCTCTACAGACAGTACATACTCAGCTGCTCTAGAAATATTCCAAACAACATCCAAAATTAAAAGTTTGGGGTTTAGAAGCAGTTGGACAGGCGTGAGAGAATGAAATCAAACCCTTCAGGAAGACAGGCAGGTTCCCAGTGTGTACACAAAACAAAGGCAGGAAATAATCACACAGAAAGTTCCTAGAACCCATTAAACACTATGAAAAATTAAACACTTAATTAAGCCTGTACAGCAGTACAGATTATTAAATCAGGTATTTGGAAGATTGATTTTGATTTTATTAGAAAACCAAAACAATTATCAAACAAACCAAAAAAACCAAGCAACAACCTAATCATACAAGAAAACTTCTCTAAATCCTATTGCATGAATCTCACAAATAAGCTGATGCTGTGCAAACTTCACTGACTGGGAAAACATACACAATATGAAATCAATCTCAGAATTTTCCTCATTAAATGAATCTCAGTTTTTTCCTTAAAAGTCACTGTATTTCTTGTGATTTTTTTTTTTCTCCTTGACATTTTTCCCAATCCCTGTAAGCCTAAAATGCACAAAAATTTACTAATAAAACTTCAAAAAATCAGCTTAATATTATTCCCTTGTTTTTTGTCTGTAGCATCTTTATTTTCTACCTACAGAGTTTAACAAGACTGTTGCCTGTAGCCTACAATTAAGTGAAAAATTCAAAGTGACTAAGATTCATCTCTCTAACAGGATATCTTTCAGCTTCATAGTGGTTTTAAGGTTTCATCTGCAAGCAGGACCACTTAAAGTTCATCCTTGAAACTGGATTTACGTTTTAAAAAGGGCTAAAATGGAAACCACAGCTCTGAGTTGCAAGTTTATTTGTAATTCAAAGCATACTTTGTCACAATTGGGGTATTTCTCCCCAGAAAACACTTTACCTTTCAATCGAGGACTATGGACGTGCATTCTTTGCAGATGAAGATTTATTGGGATGAATTCTAATGTTTTTTCTCCTTTGCTACAGCTTGATTTGAACGAAGAACCTGAAAAATAAAAGTTCAAAGAATCATTAATTTCAGCACCCGGCAGATGTTTTGTCTTCTTTTTAATGCAAGGACAATATTTGCATGTTAGGAGTCTTCTTTAATTCACTTTTAATGTGTAGCTGTATATCAGGAGAAGAATGGTTCACTAAGCATGTCTCAGCATGGATCCATATTGGAAAGAACAACACAGCTTTTAATTCACAGGACATGATAAGTTTTTAGTCTAGGTGCTAGGTATTTCTGCCTCCTATCTGAAACTGGTCTCAGGTTTGCTGGAAACAATGCCACAGTGTATGTGCATTATGTTTATTTTGTGCTAAAAACACAGAGGTACAGAGCTATGATGGTAAGTTTACACCAAATAACATTTTTTGCTTAAAAAAAAAAAAAGTATTACATGGATGAGGTGATGCATTCTTCCTAGAAACTTCAAACACTGAAATATAAACTAGCTTAAGAAAAGCTATTAATCGATTTTCCTCCTAAAAAGTCAGAATCACAAGAAGCACAATGCTCTGGGAAAAAGGAATTAAAAACATCTAGTTGCATACTCCAAAAATATGACGTTATGAGCAACTTTGTGGTGGTAAAAAGGAATATAACTAAAGCCCAACAATATGAAAACATAATTTACCTGAGATATTTGATACAGCATCTGTATACAAGGAGGTGTAGATTAGGAAATAGAAGTGGGTCCTATCTTCTCACTCAGGCAGCCCAGCATTTACTTAGGCCACTTTTTCAGCACTCTTACCATTTTGCCAGCTATTAATCATTTGGACTAAAATTCCTCTGATTCATATTGGATTTAGGAAAAAAAGTAAAAAAGAAAGTTTCCACCTTTTCTTGCAAAAAAACCCCCCAAGAAAATACCTGAAATTCTTCTTTTTGACTTGCTCAATCAATATTTGCTAGAGGTTATCTGTTGAAACTGCCACAGATTCCAACAGGGCTAGTGGCCAGAGGGGACCAATGATGCTCCACACCTCCACAGGCTGCTACCTAAGCTTAGTAACTTAAAATAATAATTCAACAAAGATGAAGAGCAAAGGTAGCAAGAAAAGCAACTGGCAGGAGTCAAAGATTCAGACTTGACAGGAAACCTGGGGATGCAGGCTGAAACCAGGAGTCATTGATTACGAGGGACAGCAGTGGGAAACCATCTGGAAAGTGCAAAAAGACTAAACTAAGGTGAAGTGAAGGGAAGATCATCTCTGAAGCAAGAATCCCTTACTGCCCAGTGCCAGAAACATATGGGATAACAACCACCCACTGCCACCAGTTGTTCTGTTCACTTGGGTATCAGAGAGCCACGCAGTGGAATTAGAATTTCAATGTGTTCACCAGTATCACCCATAAGACAAAACTAATTTTCAATATAGTCTGTTTGCTTGTTTTTAAATAACGTGGTAAGTTGTATTTAAGGACCAAGAAAATAGTTGTTACTGTTGCAAGATTAAAACTCTTCAAAATTAGGAAATACCAGAATATAAATGCAACCTTCACTTGACATCCACCTGAAGAGGAACTGTTAAACAGACTTCAAGGACATACCAGGTACTTTCCCCAGCTCATTGAATGCTTAGGGTCTTTGCTGCTCACTTTAGAAGCAGTGATTCAATACATTGTTTTCAACTTTTACTTCAGTTTCTGGATTCAAATATATTGCTCAAGCCTCCCACAAAGACAGGATTATTAATTTCCTCAAACCTGTCCACTGCATGCACCACTACAGCTTCTAAGGGCTTTAAAAATATTTATGGAATAACTTTAACTGGGCGAATAAAAGGGTTATAATTTTATCCATTCTAATGGCAAAGAATAACTTAAGGTCAAAGCATTTAAGAAATAATGCATCCATGTGAGATACAGAGGATCTCATTCAGCAGGGCATGGGTTATAATGCAACATCACATTCCATTTTGGAAGCACGGCTCCCAGGGAGCTGAATAGCATCCAGTAGTACCAAGTGCTCCTGCAAAACAGGTTTGTGTCTACTGCCAGGCTTCCAGGAAAGAACTCCACACACCAACCACTTCTGAAGCCTGCCTCGCCTAGTGCCACACAGGAGCTTTGTGACAGATGCAGCAACAGTGTCCAGTTCTCCAGAGCAAGAGAAATAAATCAAGGGGGAAAAAAAAATTCAGGTCAAGCCAAAACAAATGAAAAAAACTTCCATTCCCTCCTAAAATCACCAATTCTGTGGTTTAGATTAACCTGAAATGATTTGTTTTGATGTTGCCTAACCCTTTTCCATTCCTGTTACTGTGTTCCCTTGAAACAACTATACTTGATATTCTCTGAAATTCTCCCCCATTTTTGAGGATAAGTGTTTGCCAAAACAACTCAGATTTGAAATACTCTTAAATTCCTTAAACATCCATTTTCAGTAAATATGCTGCTGAGCCCAAATTGCTGTCTAACACTAATGCAGTCTGCTGATACTTTCACTACAACCTCTCAAATTTAAAAGGAAATTAAGTGCTCTGCTAACAACAATTTTCTCCATTAAATTCCACAAATAGCTCAGTTGAGTATGAAGTATGTATTGCTAAGAAAACCCAGCATGTGATGATATAGAAAGAATATGGGAGGGCTTTTGAAAAATTTCATTTGCAGATGCTCTCTCTCTTTCTGTACACTGGTTTTGCAGAGGCAAAAGCACTCCGTGGCTTTCCTAGAGGACCATGGCCAGTTGGCCTTGCCCTAAAATAAGCCTTCCCAAAATAACAACCCAATTCAGGAATTTTGCATCTGAGGCCAGATAACAGAAACTTGACTTAGTTTAGAAAACCAATCTTGTTGAGTTCTTAAGTACTGCTGATCATGAACTACCTGTACAAGGACACTACTCTGCTACACCTACTGGTTTCTGAGTGGATTGGGTTCTCCAGTGCAGATGCTCTGAGAATTCCAGAGCACTGCAATTCTCAAGCTCTTTCAGAATGGAGAGAGCTGCTTCAACCCAAACTCGGGCAATGTGCCAACTAAGATAAAGTAAGAAGCCTACACAGGTTAAACTGTAAAGCAAAATCTTTCCTTGGCATGAATTTTGACAATGGGAAAGTAAAGACTGTGTTTAAATAGGTTGATCTGAAAAGTCTGAATTCAAATTGTACTCACATCTCTAATCACAACGTTTTCTACCTTGTAAGAACTTAAATTTCAGGTCTCTACAATGTTCTCTCAACATCTTTTTTTTTGTGCAACTACAGCATGAAATCAAATATGTGTCTGTCTTTTCTTATCAAAGACTATAATCTTGGTTTTTAAAGTTGTAATGCATACTGTTTACAGAGAAGAACCACCCCAAATGGGAATGGAAGTCAAACTGGGACATCTTAAAGTGTGCAATAAATTTTATCCACATCCACCAGACTCCTTAGAGAAAAAAAGCAGGAGGGACACTTCTGACAGCTGTATGCAGGGAGATTATTCTGTTTCACAGAGAAATGCAATGCTTGTTGCAAATTATCCAGACAGAGAAAAAAGTCTGGTTAAAGACAAGTAATGGGCAGCAGAAGCATGAGAGCATCTGCTCTAGATTTTATTTTACTTTTGTGTAGCCAAATCCTATGTTGCCTATATGATCAAAATGCAGAGTTGAGGTTTTAGCCTAGCTCTGCATAGGGATACACAATACACCCCCTCTCCTCCCTTTATAAATAAAATTAAAACTGTCAGACATCTAGAGAACAACTTTAAAGGGACACTCACTACACCAGGATTTATCATCTAATTTAATTTGTGATTTAATAAGAATAAAAATAATACAGTGGCTATAGTGCAGGGTTAAGAGTAAATATTGACTTAATTAGAAGGACTAGACTATCCTTTGGCTTTAGAACGTGCATGTGTCATGCTTATCACAATCCACGCCAGCAGTAAGGGGCAGAAAGGACTCAGACATGCTACAGACATACAAAAATATTTGTGTGCTTAAAATAGAGTGTTATTCAGGAAAGAATTCCAGTAGTCTCACAGAATAGAAAAGAATTATAAGCTCCTTGAACGATTTGTGAACAAGCAAAGGAAAGGAAATTCAAAAGAATTTTTTTTTTCTGCAGTCTTGTCTTGTTCTTTTAATGAGTAAGAATTACTAGAGGAGGAAAAGACCAGCTGCCTTTTCTACACACTTGTCACTGATGCTGCCTTGTCCACAGGACTCCAGCAGCTACGAATGGAGCGAGCACCTAGTGCACATCAGAACACAATATAACTGCTCTCACGTGCAGAAAAGCAAGGAATCAGATCCTGCTGTTTGGGACTGAGGACAGACAGCCCAGCCCATCTTAATCCTGTGCTTTCCTGCTAAAATACAGGCAATGACAGCTACTAAGGGTACCTACAGCTCAGAGAGATGTTACATTTATGTTTAGAGGATATGATTAACTTGTTGAGTTTCAAGAAAAACTGACAAAACTGTATCTCCAAGGCTGTTTTCCATTGGAAGATGGTAATTAAACCAGTGGATTCTTAACTACTCCAGAACAGAGGAGGTTACTTTCATACCTGTATGCTTGCCAAGCTCTGCAAGAGTATCCTGGTACATAGTCAACATCTGATCACAGTGAGCAATAACACTTCTGCGCATGTTGTCCCAGTGAGGAGCAAGTTCTCCCAGGTCTTTCAGTTCCTGATTCCTGTATCAAAAGGCAAAGGCACTGATTAATTCATCAACATTCATCCAAACTAAACCAATGAAGCCAAAACCACTTTGTTAAAAAAATCAAAACATCAAAAGCATTTCCTAATTGAAATAAAATCTGCTTTCAGGATGCTTTTAAAATCTGCTGATTTCAGCTTTGTTATTCAGCCACGCAATAAAGAATGTCAAATTAATGAATAACACAGTTATTTGTGTTCAAAACTCATCTAGTACAAATGTAATGGTCTGCAAATTGAAATATTATTTTTGTTCTGGAAGTGAGAAGGATTTCAGGCTCCTGAGAGCTGTGTTCACAGCAAGGAAGTTTCTTCTCAGGACACATCAGTGTTATGGTAACCAAACATGCCACTGAAAATCCACAAGGATATCCTTTAGCAAGTTATCAGTTTTCCTGTACCCTCTTGAGAGCTGACCTAAGTAAACACAGATCACTTAAATTTCCTACACCAACAAGCACAGTTGCAGTACACTGGGCTTGGTGTTTTCTCACTTGCAAAGGGAGATCATCCTATGTGCATCCCAAAGCCACTCTGGGGGACCTGCTTTTAGAGAAACTGAAAATGAAAGATCATGAATCTTCAAAACACTGGGAATTGTTCAGGGTGAAACTTGTGCAACATGATCAGCTAGTTTTCCTATTTTCCTCGAAGTACCAAGCATACTGCTCCACTGCAATTCTTGGAAGTCTCAAAAAAAGACTTCCAGAGGACAGCTTTCCATAAAGGAGAATTACTGAAGGACAAGGAAAATCAGAGGGGGACAGAAATGGAGAGAAAACTGATGTGACTGCAGCAGAGGAACACAAAATGACACTTATTACAACAGGTTTGACCAAAAAAAAAAAAAAAAAGCCTTAAAATTAATTCTTAAATAGAAAAGCCCCTTAACTGATGTTTCCCCCATCATTATTACCTTTGTATTTCAGTGAGCAATATTAGAATAAGCTACACAGACATAATTCTATTCCTGGTCAGTACAACCACTAAAATCAAACAGATTGCACTGGAAACAGAATCAAGGCATTTTGTTTGTAAATGTCCTTGAAGTATCAAAATATAAAAACAGAAAGAAAGGTTACAATACATAAACTCATTGGGAATTTACTGATGACAATGTGTGGTTACTTTTCTCCATTTCATTCAACCTGAGGAACAGAAAGAGATTAAAAGTTCAACTTTTCTTCCATTGATACAAACTGGCAATTCTATAGCATAAAAATCATCCTCACTAAGAGGACTAACCCACCGTTTTCAACTGCCACTTTTCTTGCAAGTTTTTAGCAGCTTAAAATGACACATCCCATTCAATGAAAATCTCAGGGCTTCCTCCTAAGTCAAGCTCATAAGTTTTGGCAGGGTATGTGATTTTATTCACTCTCAGTAAAGGTATTTTGGCCCTTAATATTTAATGTTGTCTTATTTAATAGTTTTAGGAAAAATGTTTGGACCTGGCTGAGCTCCAGAACTTGACTGCTCCTCAAATAAATCAAACCCCAAATCTGTTTCAATGAGCTGTCTATAGGTTAACTCCATTGACACCAAGAGCAACAGGAAGGGAAAGCTCAAACCCCACCATACTAATTTTAAAGTGTTTTCAAGAAATGTTAAATTCTGCTCTTATCATCAACAAAGCTTGTATTTATTTAATCTCAGAAACACAGATGCATCACTCACTGATGTCAAAATACAGCCACTAGTATATGTCATGCAAAGACACATCCACAATATTCTAATGAAGTTAAGCATGCAGTTTTATAGTAACCTAGAGCATATGTAGCATGGAAACTTCAAACACTACCTTTGATAAATGGATTTTGATTTAAAAATACAGGAAAATCAAAACCATGAGATAACAGGATTACATGGCATAGACACTATTCTGCCAAAAACAGCCTTCTCACACATTTTATGTCTTCTTTTTTCAAATGCAAATATGTAAGACATAGGATTTAGATACTATCTGTGTAGGATTTGTGCTTACTATTTGCCACTGCTGTTGTTGACTCAGTACAACTGAGTTACAGCTGAAAAAATAATTACCCTTCTGAAATCTAAGCTTCATCAAGAATATTCCATAGTACCAAGCTTTCTTATCACTGTCATGAACAGCTCCTTACAAAAGTGAAGAAACTTAATATTTTTTTCCCATTTGGAAGTTTCTAGCTCATACTAGTAAAACTATAACCTTAAAATGATGTTTTAATAATACTATGATATGTATACCCAAAATCATTTCTCTGAATAACTAACTTTAAAAGCACACTTCAACTAGTAATTGTGTCAGACAACAATGGTGCTACAAAAGAAAATGAATCTTTATAATATATATTGGCTCTACAATTCTGAATAGTTTGTCAACAAAGCAGTAAACTGAGAGGAAACTCAACATTGTTAAACACAGAGCTGTTCACCAGCTTCTTCCCCAACTCCAAATCTCTTCTCAGAATCTTTTCCAGGCAATAGCACTCACTGTGAAAGATCCTGCACCCAGCATCAACTTCAACTCTTACAGCATCACATCCAAGCTTTGTCTGCATCTTGCTGTTCAGCTCCTCAAACTATCTCCTGGAGAGTCTTCTTCTGTCAATGCACAATGGAAAATCCCACCCAGGAGCGTGTCCCAACTTTCATTATCTACTGCTTTGATAACTTCAATAACTCCCTTGGCAGCCTTGACATAATCTTGCCCCGTTAGTATCTAACCAGAATGTGGATGTAAACAGTCTCCTCCACTTCAAACATTAGCTAATTACCTTATTTTTAAGCCTTTCTCAGGTACTTTCTATTTATCACATCAATTCTTTGCTTTAATAGGATAATTTTGGCAGCTTTCACCAAACACTTTCCATTCCGGTTGGAAGAAGTTCCTCATTTAAAAAAAAATAAATCTCCATTTTACCTGTGACCCTTTCTCCAAAACTCTTTTCTGCCATTATGGCAGAAAACTCTAATGTTGGATCCTGATCTGCTGAAAGCAAGTTCAGTCGTTGTGCAAGCTCTTACCCTGTTATGCAGGATGGCTTAGGAGAATCTGCCTGGAATGAGACATCAGTGCTTTTCTTTATCAAGTACATCAAGGCAACCAGAGATCCATAAAAGTTACATGACTAGATAAATTTCTGACATTACTAGCAGGTAAATACTGCTGCCATTAGACTTGAAGTAGAACTACACAGAATTTTTTTTTGTTCTAAGAAAATGTTCAGTGAAGCCCATTATGAACTGACAGTTGAACTCCCAAGGCTCAGATTAATATTCTGCCATTTGATTTATCAACTCATGCTTTTATTTTTAAGAATACCTTAGATGCATGATTATAGTAAACTACTGAGAGTACCTGAAAGAGGCAGAAAGAATTTCTTGTATTATTCATGTTGATAATCTCAAACAGTTCCTGCCTTGTGCTGGGCACTCTAATGACCACAGTGAACAGAAAAAGACTCTTCCTCCTCACTTTGGATATGAGCCTGTAGGAACAGCTTAGAAGTCTAAAGGAAACATATTCAAAGCTGCAAATGCAAAATAGTGAATTCTGTAAGGAGTACTTTAAATGAATTAAAAAATCATTTGAAGGAAGATCTAATACTGAAATCATGTTCCAAGAGAACTTGTTTTTGCAGAACTACCACTACCTTTGACAGTTCAGACACCATTGTGGAAAGCACAGTGAAAACCTGTCGTCAGTGACAATCCCATCAAAATAAAGCAAAAACCATCAGCAAGACACTAAGATGAGCAAGATGAGTCAGAAGGGGGCATTCCTTCAAAGAACACGTTTAGAAGTGATTATTCTGTCTCAGAAAAGGGGACAGCAGGAACAGCTATTTGCATCGTTAAAGACACAGCACAGATCTACACAAACTGAAAGATGGAGTTGAACACATCAGTGTAATTATATGAAGAGGAGATAATTAAAAGGATATTTGATAAAAGCACATAAACCACAAATACCATATGAAGACAAAATAGTAACTTTTGGTTCATTCAGCTTCAAAAAATCCAGTGATGCAATTCCCAGTGAAGCAAACACAAATTCAAAATCAAAAAAAGTGATTTTTTTCCCCCTCACCCAGCATAATTAGCTGCAGAAATCCACTTTCAGAAAACATCAGAAGCAAAGTGCTTAGCGGGATTCAAAACAAGATGAGACATTTCTGCAGATTATATTTGCAAAAGTTTTATAATGTTATCAAGGCAACCAAGTCCTGACTATCTATCAAACAGGAGCTTTGGAGTAAGTACACACCATAAGCTTTGGGGCATGACTCAATCACTCATAAGTAAAGGAAGCTTAGAAGCTTCCTTCTAAGAAAAGAAGCACAGGAATTACTTTTCCTAACAAATTCTCCTTTAACATGTACATGTTTATGGAAAACCATTTCATCTCTTTTTGTAGAATAGAAGCAGATAAAATTACTCTCGTTTTTCTTTACCACAAGTTATGGCCCTGTGACATACAGGCAATAACCCATCAAAATAATACAGCATTCTCTCCAGAAAGAAAAGAATCATAGCCCTTTTTATACACTGTTTCTAAAACAGAAAAATAATTACTACGGAGGATTTAATCCCTTCTACCACAAAAATGAATAAAAGAATATTTTTCTTTATTTCCCAATAGTTTTCATTTAGAAACTCTCGAAAACAATTTCCATTTTTCTTTTCTTACAGCATTTCCCAAACCTGTTTCAGGTTCTGGGAAGCCTGATCTGACAGGTATCTAAAAACTATAATGTAGGTTGTGCCTAACTTTAGCATGCCTTAAACATTTGTTTAAAAAACAAACAAACAAACAAAAAACAACCAACCAAACAAAAAAACACCAACAAATACCAAAGAAACAAAAAAAATTTCCCCAAAATCAAACAAAGCACCCAAAAAAGCCAAGCCACCAAATTAAAATCTTTAACGTTAAAAGATTAAAATCTTTAAAAACCTGTTTCTTCTATGTATTTGTGGAGAATAGGTTGGGAAAAGCTTGAGAACACTTTATACTGTTCCTGAGAGCTGGAGTTTTTAAGTCCCTTTTCATTTCTATCCAGCATCCCCTTTTTATTATCCAAAAGTGCAGCCAATAAACTAAATTAAACCCACTTCTTCCTCCCTGCTTTAAAATTTGATCCTTTCCTTGGATATTTTATTACCTGGGTTTATATCTGAAAGACTCAAGCTCTTCAAACAGCATGATCATTTGAGGTTAATTCTCTGATTTACATTTAATAGGAGAGGATAATTTTCCTGTGTCACGACTGCAAAGAGTCTCAGATTCAGTAATACTCAGAATGGCATCTCTGGAATTTACACTTCAATCCTAAACTATATTTTAGCACCTAGTCATGGGGTAGAGAATTGTTTTAGGTGTTTTTTTTGTTTGGTTGTTTTTAAAATTTTACTGTTTCATCCAGAAACACTGGAAACACCTTCAGACAATGTAGTTTCAGCTCTGTGATATAAACAAAACCATTGTACTCTCATAGTTTATATTTACAACTTAATTTCTTTCTTTCAGCTTGGAATTCTATATGTGGCAAGATGAATCACATTATTGAATTGCATGATTACTCAAGCATTTAAACAGTTTTGTGAGTTTGTTTTCTCTTTTTCCCCAATTTATTAATCAAAGTGCCTCATTCAAAATAAACAGAGGATCTTTATTACACGAGCAACATCATAAAACTGTACAAAGCTTTTTTTAAATCACCTTAATGCTTCTAGTTTATATTCTCTGCACCCTCACTGACACCAACTGACAAAATTACATGCAGCTTAGTGCTTTTAGAACCACAGATAAGTAATGGCAAGTGCAAAATCTCTTGCTAAGGTAAAAATTAAACTGCTTTTTGTCATGAGAGAATTGGAGTGTGTTGAAATAATTATAATCTTGATAAAAAGATTAATTTTTGCTTTGCTTTTGTATTGTCCTTCATTGCAATGTTGGTGGCTCTATTTATTTGCTCAATGTGGACTTTAAGACCAACAAAATAACATCTGGAAATTTTAGCAGCTAGCCTCTAAGAAGCACTGCTGACTGCTACAGAATGATCTTCTGGAGCCTTAAAACCTGGAGCCTTGATTTTGTAGAAAATAACAGAAAACCCTCTCTGACAGGACAGTCTGAATGTAAATTAACATTTTTATAGCTAATAGAACGCTAAATAATGCAATATAGAGGCAACTATCACAAAACAAACCAGGTCATGTTGCCCCATTCCAATGCACTTGAACTTTAAACACCCAGTAACAAAGCCAAGCCCAGCATAATTTATTTCATTAAGTCTGAAAACTCCTTTTAATTCTTCCACAGGGGCTATCTTTCCCAAAATTAGTTATGAACAGTAAAATAAAGAGCTACATTTTACTGACACATTTGGGGATTTTTTTAAGTGTTGAAAAACATATTTCTTTGAACTCTTTTCTTAAGTAGCTACTTGAAGTAAGGTTTAAAAGCCCTTAAGTGGATAGGATATTAACAGTGCCTATTCAGATGTGGTTGGTTCAAACAGCTTCAAAAGCCATGATGAACTTAGAATAAACTTTTCTATGCTGTGACCTCTTATCAATACAATATTTTTTCAGTGGAATTGCTCAAAAATAAGTCGTGTCAAACGTAACATGCAAAGGGGTCCAGAAAAGTCAATACCTCCTCCCAACACATGCCAGTTCTGCCTGGGTCTCCAGCTCTCTATAGGAACTGGAGAAACAAAATACATCTTTCATACAGTCTCAACTGTGTCCTCACTCTGTAATGTTAGAAGAAAAATCAGAAAAGTTCAGCAAGTTATCCTTTAAAAAAAAAAAAGGTTTTTTAGAGGTTTTAACCACAAATGCCACGGGCCAAATTCAGTCACAAGGAGGTAAAATTTCCTTTCAGCCAAAGCCAAGTTTGGTTCCAAGGGACTCAAAAGAGCTTTAGTGGCAAATCTGAAAGACACGTGTACTGCAGCTTCTACTAGAGTTTTCTAATTCTCTTGCTTTGCTGATCTAGTGCAACACAAGTTACATCTACAACTGCAAGCTTAGATTATATGGGTCAATAAACTTTCTGAATTATTTTGTAATCCACAAAGTCTTTTGAATCATTAGGTTCTAAGAACTTCTTGGTTAATCTTTCATGCCAGATGCAAACTATCTGGACAAGACTTGTGTAAATAATATTCAAAAACAGGGGAAAGGACTCACTTGAAAAACTCAAGGAGAAAACAGAATGAATTTCTTAATAAAAAACAGCAAAGCAGACTGTATAAGCCTTATCAGAACAATAAAAATATCTGTATATCTCCTATTAAAACTTCTTCCAGGGAGGTTTGAAGGTCAAAATCTTTAATGCATGCGTATCTTTAAAAACATGATTTCATGCTGAAAAATGAAGTTAAACATCCTTGGAGATTACATACTTCAGAGTATCACAGCAGTAAATGAAAAATATAAAAAAACACATCTTTTTAATAGAAAAAAAAATTTAACATAAAAAATTTATCTCTTGATAAAACCTCAGTGTTCATTGTTACCCAATCTTAAGAGTTACAAGGAAAGGGAATTTAAATTGCAATATGAAATACTGAATGGGATTAACACTTCACTTGGGTGCTTTTTATAGGCAGTTGCTTCAGATATGACTATACTGAAGCCAGAATTGGAATAAAAGTGAAACAAGACTGATGATAACAAGTGGCCACTAAGACAAAAATATTTCTTCTTTTATACCAAATGGAAAAAAAAAAGATGCAGAGAAGAATACTTCAGAAGAGAGTAGCTTTGAGATGCTACAGTGTAATTTTTATATGGGTTCAAGAGCATAACATCCTCCTAATACCATTTTAGTAGTTTACAAATGTAAGGAGTCCACAAGAGGACACATCCTTGTAATGATTTCAAAAAGCAAAGCCCATACAAAGCTGAAGCTCCAAGCTACATGCTTATCCAGTGATAGGTGACACTGATGCCCCCATTCCCACCACTTGCTAGTGTTCTACCACAAGTTATTGCTCCTCTTGGTTGACCTCATCTCCTCCCTCAATCGCTGGTTCTCCATCTCACACCTACACTTTCTACTAGGCTTGAGCAAGTAACCACAGCAGCAGCCAGGAAAATCAGGACCACTTGTCTCAGCCTTTGATCAACATTTAATTCTGGTTCCTTCTCCAAGCTTTACTTTATTTTGATATTGAATAAATATTAAAAAAAAAAACCAAATGATGGTGATTCTTTACTATGACTTTATCCAAGGAGGTGAATGCTATAACATGAAATAACATCAAGCACTATTACTTGCATTGTGCCTTTGGAGAGAATAACATAGCAGTAGTAACTGTGGTTAAAGGAATCCTCTAACATTTAAAAGGCATTTACCCATGGGGCAAATGAAAATCTAGGAAGTGGATGAACTCTGCACGTCAGCATAATCTGGTTTTATTGCTTACTAAAAAACCCTTACACATCAGTATTCTCAAACAAGATCAGGCCATAAATGCCTAAACACAGTATTAAATGAATAAAACAAAGTATTATAACAATTCATATAATTTTTATAAGCCATCATCAACATGCATAAGTATGTATCAGTCCATTGACTTTATTAAAAACAAGATGCTGGTCTCCCACACGCTGTTCTGTTGGCATAAAAAGATCTTACAGAAGCAGCAGATGGGGTGAATAAAAAAAAAAAAAGAAGGTCTCTCCCTGGTTACAAGTCCAAACACAAAAACAGGCTCCAATTGTATATGACTTTGATATCCTTTTATTACACCAACTAATTTACATTAGTTAGAGGAATGTGATTTATATTCTCATTGCACCTTTATTATCTACAAACTTGACATTTTCCATTGCTGGCATAATTTTCATTTGTGATATTGGCACTGCCCAGACACAAAGCCAAACACACTACAAAGTAGTTCACACCCTTGCCATGTGCTGTTTCTTTATAAAATGCTAACATTTTAGAATATGTATATTGTTAACCACGTGTTGATGCTTACACATTGAAAGTTGTGATCACACAGTTCATCGCTCAGAACTTAGAAACTCATTGGCATCCCAAAAATTCTAAGCAATCAATTCAGTTGTTCTGTTACAGCTGTAAATTCTTAGCAGCCAAAAATATCACTCCATACTACAAATAAATATTTTTTTAGGTCATCATTTACATTGTTCTGACTCCCAAAAATAAAATCTAGTATTAATATTGCAACTTTTTCCTTACCTTCTCATATCCTCCTTTATGTGTAGATTGATGAGCTCTTTAGGAACGTGGAAGGAGAGGGTGGTCTCAGCCATCTGCTCCCGGATCCGCATCCACTTGTTGTCAGAAGTGGGGAATCTATACAACTTACAGATTGGGTTTTTTAACACTGCAGGGAGGAAAAATCATATCCTTGCTTTACTGTGCTTATAGGGCTCTTTGAAAATTTATGACAACAATTTCATCCAAAAATAATGCGTTATTTCCACCCTTGCATCCATAATTAATTTTAGAACCATTAAAATTCTATTAAAAACATTAAATTGTTATTTATTATAGCACCATGTGGAGGACAAAGTATTACTAGTACAGTAGATAAATCACATTTTACCCACACAGTAGGTAGCCTGTGAATTCAGCATTTCATTGCAGTGGGAATGGAAATTATGCTCTGCATTTTTACACTTCAGACATGGAATGCACAAATAAACAGTGAACTCACTCACAGTCAGTCCCATCGCTCACCATCTGCTGGAATCACTTACAATGCTAATAAACTGCATGGGACAAGTGGAGCATCTCTGAGTTTAGCTCTGTCTGATGCACCTTCTCCATTATATGCACATAAAGTCATTAATGGATGGTGTGCATCTACATTAAAGGAAACTTGACCAATGACATGGTCAAGAGGACTCCATTTTACAGCCAGCTTGGTCATTGACATGGTCAAGAGTCTGCCACTATATAGGAATAAATATAACACTCCTGTAAATATGTTGCACATAGTGTTCTCAGCTCATTACTGTAACTTAGAATCATAGAATAGAATCACAGAATCCTTTAGGTTGGGAGAGACCTTCAAGATCATCAAGTCCAACCACTAAGCCATTAGGGTTCTACAGTCCTCTGCTAAAACAGATCAGAATCTGTCAGGGTTGGAAGGGACCACAAGGATCCCCCAGTTCCAACCCCTCTGCCATGAGCAGGGACACCTCCCACTAGACCAGGCTGCCCAGAGCCTCCTCCAGCCTGGCCTTAAAGACCCCCAGGGATGGGGCCTCAACCACCTCCCTGGGCAACCCATCCCAGGGTCTCACCACTCTCATGGGGAAGAACTTCTTCCTCACATCCAGCCTGAATCTGCCCACTGCCAGCTTTGCCCCATTCCCCCTAGTCCTGTCATTACCCAATAGCCTAAAAAGTCCCTCCCCAGTTTTCCTGACACAGGAAAATCACGTTACCTGATGCCTTGGAAGGTTATGCTTAAATATCTGACATGTTGGCCACGTTTCCATTCATATCTTACAACAATGCTCTACAATAAAGGTGGGAAGTATCTACTCTCTTTTCTCCTTCCTTTCCCCGACCACCCTCTTAACTAATTTTCCAGAAAGAGTAAATGGAGAAAAAGCTGAGAAAGAAAAGTTTTGACTAGTTTGAAAAGCTTACTTTGAGACAAATGACTGTCATTTAACGCACGCACATCCACCGCTCCCTGGCTCAGAATGACTTTGGACAGCCACCTAAATCCTCCAACAGTACCTTTCTATCAGCCTTTTGGAAAAAAAAAAACCCTGCCTTAGAGCAGGCTCCCATTGATCTGCCACTGAATGGTCTATAACTCAAAGGAATGCATTTCCCTGGTGTGCTGTGAGGAAACTGTTGCTGTCAAAACGACATCTACTAATAGAAATTTCAGCTTCACAACTCACTGCCACCATTATTGCCTATGTAGGCTGATTTATAGCCAATGAAAAACACAGACCAGGTTATTGAAGATACACAAACTGTCTTGTCTATCTAATCAAACTGTTTTTTAACAGAAGCCCTCTAGGAAAGGCCTAAAACAAGACCATAGATTAAAGATGTCTGTAATAAAATGGTTGTTGGCAACACATAAAGAATGCTGTAAATAATGATGCTTAAGTAATTGCAGAGGTATTGTTTTCTATTCCTATCATTACTGAGATCTCTTTAATCATTAGTCTTTGTTGAGAAACTAGAAGCCTTTTTAGAGTAATTTTTCCTTTATTTGTTAGTGATTTTACCTCCAAAAAGTGACTTTCTGTTATGAAATAAGCCTAACAGATACTTGATAGCTATGGCATGTGAATAACAGCATTTTTTCTTTACTATTAACACCCAAAACACCTCAATGTTCAAGAATCTTTACACACATTGTACAGCTTGAGAATCCTCCTCACACAGATTTAACTATTGTCCAATACAAAAAAAAAAACCAACCCAAAACCATCTTCAAGTCCTGCATGTATGATCCATTTACACACAGTGCCTAGGCTCTACTACCTGATTAAAAGATGCTGTAATGGTTTCATATTTTCCTCCTCTTTTGCTGAGATTATTCTAATTAATGGAATCAGCTTTGTGAATAATATGAACAGCCTCTATCAATCCACAAAGTAGATATATGGCACCTATCATCTTCCATTAACGAGACAGAGAATGATAATCTTCAGATGTCAGGGAGAGCACAAGAAAGTAAGAGCTAATTTATGTCTGCCCTTAAACAGAAACCTGCCAAAACACAGGATAATTTCGGGTTGTTTTTTTTTGGCATGAGTTTTCTTGTGTTTCTTTGTTTTGGTTTTTTTTTTTTTTTTTTTTGTAGTGCCACATGTTCACTAGGAACCAGGCTGACCTTTTTCACCAGGACGTTTGAAAATTATGATGCCCCAGACACAAAAGGCTCTTTTCTCTATTTTACCTTTTTACATCTACTTCCTAAGAAGTTATCAAGGGATGTTTTTCCAAGAAGAGCCCTTAAATTTGCACTCAGAATCTATTACCTTTAAAAAATCACATTTGTCTGTGAGAACCTAATGCACATATGTAGCTTCCCAATCTCTTTCCTGCCCATTATCACCACCATCATCATGGGAAAAAAACAAATCCAAAGAAAAAACCCAGCAGGACTCTAGTGTTACAGCAAGGGAGACCAGGAATCACATTGAAAACATGGATCCAAGGTTGACTTTTATCATTGTTAGAATATTAAACTCCTCTAGGCACTGACTCCAAGTCTGAATCTTCAGAGGAGGATAAACTCAAGTTTTTAAAAATGGCCAAAATATTTCTGCATGGGTTTATGATGAAAATTTCACTGGCCAACTCAGAAGAAAGCCTGGAAGTTGCAGTATGGCTAAAGCTTGGTTGTCACTAAGAGCTACACAAGACATTATATCTTGATTATAAACAGGACTGCTGAAGTCACATCATTCCATAAAAGCCTCAGATGTATCTTCCTTTCCAATTACAGCAATAATTGCTTTCTAATTACAAAGTTGTCTATAAAAGAAATCTAGAAGGTGAGTAAAAACCATGCAAAGAGTAAGAATGGCAAGACTAGATTTGGCTTTTATAAAAATCAGTTATTAAAATGAGTGAAAGTTTCATAAAGGTAATCCTTCCTACGTTTTGAACAGTGATTATGAAAGGCACTGAAAAAAAAAACCAAACAGATGAACTGGAGTGGTTAAAAAGAGAAAAAAAAAAAAACACAGGACTGCTGAAGTCACATTCCATAAAAGCCTCAGATGTATCTTCCTTTCCAATTACAGCAATAATTGCTTTCTAATTACAAAGTTGTCTATAAAAGAAATCCAGAAGGTGAGTAAAAACCATGCAAAGAGTAAGAATGGCAAGACTAGATTTGGCTTTTATAAAAATCAGTTATTAAAATGAGTGAAAGTTTCATAAAGGTAATCCTTCCTATATTTTGAACAGTGATTATGAAAGGCACTGAAAAAAAAACCAAACAGATGAACTGGAGTGGTTAAAAAGAGAAAAAAAAACCAAAAACTTTAATAGCTTTTCTCTATAGCATGAAGCCTAAAAGCCAATGCCATATATTTTAACCATCAATATTTTTGGGGCATTCCCATTTTTAAATCTAATGACTAAAGTGCTTTTTATTCCATGCAATATCCCTCATACTGCTTCCCCTGCAATTAACATCTTTTAAAAAAAACCATTGAATACTGTGTTTTCATTTTTGGTCCCTATCAAACACAGATCAAAACATACCACTGCTGTTTACTAATTTACTAACAGTGCTTCTAAATTCCTTGCTAGCATAGGTGTATTATGCACACTCAGGAAGAGTAATTTAAACTCTTAATATTTGTTTAATCTCAAATACTTTTGTTCTCTTTTTTATTGTGGAGTGCAATATTTTTGCAAGCAACCAATTGGCAAAATCTCCAGTGGTATAAAGAACTAAATTTTGAAATATATAAACTCAAACTCTTGAGGTGTAAATGGAATAGTGATAAGTCTCAATGCTAATAGGATACTCATTCCCACTCACTCAATAAGTGTCTCATCACTCACTTGAGGGCTGTGAATTCCTTATATAAAGATTTAAATTTCAAAAGAATGACAATATGCACCAACACCTACAGGCTTAAAGATTCACTTAGGGATATTTTTCTCTTTCATCATTTTGAAGGCCTGATAAACAACAGGAGACAGAGAGAACTACAACTTTACAACAGCATAGACATGTACTAAACACATACATGTATGGAATATATAGTGAACTGTAGATAGCTCTCTACACACACAGCATGGAAAATAGTGCAGACAACATTGATATTATCAGGTTGCCTGTAATATATTTCTACCACATTACTAATCTTGTTCCTTCCACTTCAGTCCCTGTCTTTGATTGCCTCTAATTATGCCACACTGAAACTGGTCTGTTTTGAACTGATTATTTTTGGAAATTCTTCAGTTAAGATGGACCAGTTGCACAGAACAAGACCAGAAATCTGCAATGGAAAGTGGTGTACTTTACAAACTGGAATTCTGACAGTAAATGTTTTACAGAAACGTGCATTTTACCATATCCATGGCAATCCACTCAGATCTGACAACAACAGAAGCCTTGGGGAAAGAAATCTCAGTGTGTGAAAACCCAGAACTTGAACACAGCACTTCATACATGCTCCAATTGTTTACCTTCATTGAACAATCTTGTGTTCTTGCCAGCTCCCAATCTCAACAAACCTGTGCAGATGTCATTTGTACAGAGTGGAAGAATACATTTTTGGGGACAGTTAATGCATGGTACAACACACTTAAGGGCAGTACCCAGGGTCCAGGGAACACAGAGAGCTTTGCTCCACACGAAGCCCCATCATAGAGGCATGCTGGGGAAGAAGTCTGACTGGTTGGGCAAAGAAGCTCAGAATACAAAAGGAGAGCTAAGTTTTTCCAAGAAAAGAGATTTGGAATACAAAAAAATACAGTGGGACTGACAAAACCTGGAACTAGTGCCAGGTGTCAGCAGGGAAGTGGAAGCAATGCTGGGTTGACAAGAGGAAGTAACAAGTACAGGAAACAGACTGAAGAATAACTATTTATTAGAATAAACTTCCTGTGATGGAAAACTCTTTCTAATATCCTGTGTGCTGTCATTTCTTGCATATCCATCTGCAGCTCTTTCAAAAAAACCAAAACGTTTGACGTATACCTTGGAAGTTCCAGCAGTTCCAAAATATATTCATTTCTTGCATATCCATCTGCAGCTCTGCTCTCTCCCCTCAACTCTTTCAAAAAATAAAACGTTTGACGTATACCTTGGAAGTTCCAGCAGTTCCAAAATATATTCCCCAAACTATGGCATTTTCCCATCTAAAAAAGCACTCAACAAAAAAACCCAAACTCATCCAATAGAGGCAGAAAATAAATAAAATAATTAAGAACCTACACACAAATAAACAAAAATAATAACAAACACACACAAAAAAAACCACCAAACCAGATAAAAGCAACAAAACCCCCTAACATTTGTGAATCCCTCTCAATTTCTCTGAGCAGAATTGTCATTTCTTTAAGACCCATTTATCCAGATGACAAACCGAATCAGAATCAAAGAACAGCTACACGGACTCTGACCACATTGTTCAACTGGCTCTGTATCTTGTCTCCAAGAAGAGCCACAAATAAATGCCTAGAGATCCAAGACACTCTCCCTGCCTCCAGCTATTTTCAATTGAGGAATTTCCAGAGCTATTTTCAACTGACGAATTTCCAGAGCTAGATGAAGTTCCCCTGCATTTAGTAATTCTCAGTGAGTATCTTTTCTAGTTTCACATTGAACTAATGAAAAGAAATTGGAGTTCTGAAGAATTTTTTCCCTGCTTCTAATCTAGTCTCAACAAATCACAGAAAAAAAAAAATCACAGCATTCACACACACATGAAAAAACTATTTTTTGGAAATATTTCTAGTGCTTCCCTCAGACTGCAGAGCTAGTTTAATAAGTCTGTCCTATCAGTGAAGCAATATGAAAAGTTTCACTGAAGGTTTTAAAACTTCCTTAATGTTTCTCCTCAAATGCATGCAGCAAATACACAGAATTCTTGACAGCACTGTGGTTTCAGGTGATCCATATAACTTATTTGTGACATTGTTACTGCAGAGTAATGGAGATTCAGAAACTTGGGCTAATAAAAATTTGATGGTGCAGCATATAGGCAAGTAATATTTCTCAGTATAATGGAAGAGAAATAGATCTGGTTCAACACTGTACACCCAAGCCCAGAAATGACCTAGAATTGAGAATGACTTGCAAGAAGCTTCCTTCATTTTAGGACATACAGTTTCCAGATCAAACTGAAACTGCCACTTCATCAGCTTTGAGAGAGATTAATTCTCCAGGGCATTCAGTTACAAATAATTACTTTAACAGAATGTCATGCAATGACATGACAAAAACCTAAGAGGTTAATTTTATGCCTGCTGAAGTCACTAACAGTCTTGAGAAATGACTGAACAGGAAAGAGGTAGGGGTGGGAGATTTCAGCAGTGTTTCAGGAAGCACAACTGCTATACCCCACTGAAAGCTTCCCTCACATCTCTCAGTAAAATCTAACTGTCAAATATGTATAAAGCATCAAACTTAAAAATTTGTCCATCATGTGAAGAAGCTTTTAAGAGCTCTGCCCCAAATCTTTGCGATTTCTTCAGGGTCTGACATAGAGCTGCAAGTCATCTTTTATAGATGTTGGAATACTTACCTGCATTTAAGGAAGGCAAGTTGTCTCTACCACTTATGCCTTCAGTGGCTGTACACTCACGAACCAATGCACACTAGAAAAAGAAATGCAACCACAGATGAAACACATCGAGGTGTTACAAGGAAATTCACACAGTTTATACATGGCAGACTGAAAATCGTGATTGATAATGTAACTTCCAAATTCTTACTTATAATTTGCATTTTTCTCTTTATATTCCTGTTCCAGTAGGTGGTAATGATCAGAATTATAGTAGAGAAAATGGCCAAATATGATCAGCTATTCCATAATAAATCAGAAAGGTTTCCTACCAATACAATGGCAGAAGTTAAAATAATTTTTGACAAGTTCTGTGAATTCAGAGATGTTTGGCAAGCCAGTTTTCACATCTACAATGTCAGAAAGCACTCCATAAATATTTAAACAAGGGAAAAGTAGGAAGCACAAAACAGTCTTTAAAATGTGTTGTGGTCTGTGATTAAAGTCATTTGTTAGGCAAGTGAATTGGAAGATTTCTTTGATATGATTAGCATATAAAGGTATAAAATGTTGATGGAAAAAATCAACCAGTGTAAACCTATGTGAAATGTACTGGGAAGAATACTTTTAATGCTCCTTCTCCTCTCAGTCAGAAAAAAAACAGCCACTAAAGGTGACATGGAGTTCTATTCCCAGTCCTCTCCAGTTTCTAGATGTTCTGCTGCAGAGCTTGGAGCAAAAAGGAAGATGGGATGTACTTTCTACCAGCTGATCTCTCAGACTGAATTTAACCATCACTCTTTTCTACCAGGAGGAACTAATGTTCTAGTAAAACCTAATCCTGACTTTGTTTCTTTGAAGTAATTCAATAACTCTACATTCTCACAGCTGCATCTTCATGGGGAACATATAAACCAAGGCTCCATGATGCAACTAATCCATAAAAACTATGAACTCCCATAAAGGCCACAGAAAATACAGCTGTCACCAGGCTGGTCTTTCTTGACAAGTATTAGAACCCCCTAGAAAGATGCTGTTAAAGCTTTCTGGCTGCCCTAAACTAGACACATCATCAAATAATCACAAGAGGTCTCACTCCATGTTTTGCAAATGAAAAGCAAAATGAAAGACAAGCCTGAAAAAACAGTTCTTGTTGTATATCTCATGGAAGTGTTATAGTATAAAACTAGAAAGATTTCACAGTGTTTGTTGGCTTCTTTGGAACTGGTCTCACTGCTCCATTGTTTTCAAAGGGCATTGAAATCCTTTGAGAAGAATGGTAAAGAAAGATCTTGGTTGTCATCAGCCAGGGACCCAGTTAAAGAGATCTTTTATTAGCTGCAAATCATTCAAACCCTGATTTCCCTGTTTTGAGCAGCAATTTTTGAACTTCTCAGAAGCTCAAGCCTCTTGCCATCCTAGAGAGCCCAACAGTTCCACCACCCCTCCTTTGGTTCTCCATTCCTCTCAAATCCACTCCCTCCTATATCTTCTCCAGCTCCAGTCTCCACTGCTTTTGCCTGCAACAACCTGCCTACCTAAGAGTATTTTGGCTCTTTCTGAGCCCTTCTGTCCTTCCTCTTGTCCCAGACTCAGAATTCCCACATAGACTCTCTGGAGTCTGTGATTTTCCCCACTGCTGTGTGCTCCCCACAAGATACACCTGAGCCTGCCCCTTCCTTTGCAAGGGGATTCACCTCTTCCTTGGCTTGCCTGTCTTTTTCTCTTTCCATGTTTTCAGCATTGTGGGCACAGGTTGCACATAAAAATCCATGTGAACAGGACTTCAAGGGCAGAAAACAGAGGAACTGTCCAAGGGAAAAAGAAATCAGATTTGTGGTGTCTCTATGGACAGGTTTTTTTGATCAGGAGTGATTAATTATGGTCAATTAAGGTCAAAATAAGCTCTCTTCTTTTTTCCCTAAAAAATGGGGGGACCAGGAAACTGAGGACAGAATATTACTCTGTACATTTTAAAGAAAAACTCTTTTTAGTTTAGGGAGATTAAGTGTACCTAGTAGTTTATTCCAGCAATTTTTGATGAAGTCCTTAACCCAATTTGGAATTAGTAATTTAGGTACATCTAATCATCCTAATCCTAATTCACTTTATGCCACGAACTGGGTTTCTACCTTTTGATCCTGGCTGTCAGTTGTAATCTGGTCCGTTTCCCCATCCTCGAGCTCTCCCATCTTTACAAGATTGACTTCAATGGTACCAACTGTCTTTCCACCATCAGAAGTCCTGGGGAAAAAAAAAAAACAACAACATGACACTGGGTCACCTGCAGCATTGTATTCCTTCAGTGAAAATATCATCAGGAAACATTTAGTCCCCTCCCCATTCTGCATAGCTGTAGTCACCTGTATGAACTCGTTATTTACAAGCATAAAGTTAGGAATAAGTTCTACTGTATTTTCTCCAAATTCTTTATAGCAATAGAAGTTTTCACCATGAGACTGAGGATGGGTAAGCACTATAAATGGTTGAAGAATCCATGAACATCACCAGGTTTTCATTCTAGACATTACCCTGTCTGGGGACTGTCAGGAAAGGGCAGTAACGTTGCACCAACCCCCCACTTGAGACCTGCAATCTCACTGCACAGTGCACTGCTTTCTTTCCTAACATAAGCTGTGAAGAAAGGACATGTTTACTGTATTAATAAACCTCCTGCTAAACCAAAACAACAAAACTAATCTGAATATCACTTTTCCTTTTGCAGTCCCTCATGCTGAGTAATTACACAGAATCCACCCCATTTCTTTAATTGTATGGGAGAAGATGATACAGTTCCAGGTGAATTCCTTTATTATCACCTCTGCAAATAGTTTATTTCCAATTAAGCAACAATAGATAGCAATTCAGATGTATATCTCTAAACAAAGAGTACTGCTCACTACGTTTGGCAAGAAAGAAGGGTTTAAACTCCAAATATATACTGAGTGCTTTTTCAGCTTTCACTACCAGCAAAACACCAAGGTCAATGGCACAATCTCCCCTGGCTTCTTCTGAACAGCTGGATTTTTTGAAAGGAAGGAAAGAAGGGTAACAGATCATTTAATAATAATGAGGAAAGTATAACAAGAGTCATCAAGCCAAAACTGGCAAAAGAGAATGACAAGAATAAGTTTAGCAGAATTGCAACAGTGCAGAGAGAAGGAAAAGAAGTGGGATTGGAGCAATGCTGTGTATAACCTCAGAAGGGAACATGAAAAGTGATGAAGCAGAACAAAAGCATACACACAAAGGAGGGACCAAAGGGCTGGCAATAAACCCCAACTTTCAGTAACAGCAGCATGAGGAAAAAATGCTTCTATTAAAGCCTGCCCCACTGCTAAGGCAAACCTTGCTGCAGGAAAACATCACAACCCCCTTCAACACAGACACCCTTCCAGAACTTCAAAAAGAAAAAAGTCCTCATGTTATATTAGTAAAGGAAGGAAAAATCCCCCAAACACCTTTCTCCTCATTTCACCTAGCAGGAGCAAGACCTCAGTCCAAGTGCTGTGATGCCAATGCCAAGCAGCCCTGTGCCAACATGGATCATCCCCCAGCCTTGGCCAGAGTGGGCCCAGCTCAGCTCAGCCTGGCCATGGGCAGGCTTTCCCAGAGTGCCTGCTCATGCCCCAGGCAGGATGACCTTCTTTCTGTGCTGAGCTCCCACAATTTTACATAATCCCTAATTCTACATGCACCATAAGGTCTTAATTCAGTCAGAGCATGCCAGCTCTTTACACTGACTCAGGTTAAGCACATACATTAGTCTATTCAGGCATGGATACTTATTTACCATGCTAAATCACAACTTCCACTTTTCTACAGTGAAGTCACAAAATACAGCGACCCTCAAGCTTCAAATTTAAATAATTATTTTGGCTGTAAATCATTATGCTTTAATATGTGACTCCGTAGAACACACTTATCATGCAACTATACAAATCAAACTTGTTCTTATATCAAACCCTGCAAAACACACATAATTCTTCATATATTGCACATGTCATTACTCCATTTGCTCTAAGCCAAACTCATTGTTGACAATAAAGGAGCAATTAGAAATGAACCAATTCCAGATAGCCTTGCAACTGAAGAAGCCTCCGTTAATTAACAAAATACACAAAAGTAATGAGGAAGAAGGGTTCAACGGCCAAAGGGTGTTTCTGAGCCAAAACAATTTTGAATTCCATGAGAACAACTTGAGTGTCCTCTGAGTGAAGAACATGCCTGAATTGCTGATACTCTGCTTTGAGGGGGAAACGTTGCATTCATTTGACTTCCAGATGTAAAATCCTACTCAGTTTTTTTTTAGCAAACACATTTTTCTAAGGCCAAAGAGACCTGCAAGTGTAAAACTGACCTACCTAAACCAGATCTGATTTCAAATCACATTAGGATAAATTAAGGATATAACCAAATGTTGAGCAAAATGGAGCTCCATTTGCAAATGAGCTGATACAAGACAACGAGGGATGTTGCTCAAGTAAAATAAAAATGGAAATTCCAGTTATGCCTTCTCAGTCCTTGTCTCCTTTTCTTTAGAACACTAAATATTCCCCTTGTTGCTGTTAATATTGCCTCAGTACAGCAGTGAACACTGCACCACTTGCCTGCACAAGCAGCAATATGTATTTGGAAGCTTCCTCCACACATGTTTAAAAAGTATGATAGATCTAATTTCACTTTGTATCATTTTTTTTCATTTTTTTCATATCAAAATTAATCCTCTTGGTCTAATACATATGTAATATTAAAATCTGAAATATGCAGCATCTGCAAGAGAAGCTAATGCAACAGAATAAAACTAAATAGTGGGATGGTTGCTTTGCAGTTGAACTCCTCCTGCCATTTTTCTTATCTTTCCATGTGGAAATATGAAAACACTATTAAAAAAAAACAAAACAAAACAAAACAAAAATGGCAAAGTTTCTTTTGTATGCTCCAGGCACACAAATCAACGAAGAGCTCCAAGAATGTCCAGGGAGAAACTGTCATTAGCTGTGTCAGACACTGAATTTAAAGTACCACTGGTGCATGAGGGTCTTCAAACAGACATGTCATGCATTGAAAACTTTCAAGTAACATAACTAGATTAAAATTTCACTTGAAAGCAAATTAAAAGTGAGAAACAGAAATGAGGCAGTGGGGAAAGAAGCCTAGTGATCACAATAAATAAGATAAATATCTATGTTGTTTTACTTTGCACTGACAAAGAGCATTGTGCACACACACATATAGATGTGTATACACTTCAAGTCATCTGCCTGGACAGATAGAGATAATCTCACACATACACACTGTCCAACAGAGCACCAGGTGAATAATTAATTGATTTTGTTGATTAGGAGCCTGAGATAATGAACCAACTGCCTGTTACCTGTCAGAGCATCTGCATTTGGAATACGAGCAATGAAAAGGTGACAAAGTGTTAGAAGAGTGATTTCTAAACCAGATTTAGAATCCAGTGTCACAGGATGAAGGCTTTGGCAGCAAAGCTGTCAATGTTTCTGTCTATCCCCAACCTGACTGCCTGCTGCAGTGCTCACTCCATCTACCCCAGTTGGCATCCTGTGCCCATCTGCTCTCACCTAAGCTGGAGTCAACAAGGACCTGTCTTCCTGATGAACCTTGCAGAGGTGATTCTGAGTGAAACAGTATGATTTGAACTTGTAAAAAACAAAAAATACTTCCATCAGTGTTAAAAGCAACGTCGCTGGTTTATTCACTGAGCCAAAATCAGAGACTATTGAAACCACAATGAAATCTGCTCAGGTTTAAAGCCACATTTCTAATAATTCATTTAAAGTTTACTATACACATGGATTTCCTTACCATCCCAAGTCCTGAAGGGCCACCAGGTTGCCCCAGATGTGAGGGAAGCAGCTAGCCAGCACCATCATGAGCAGTAGGAATAGGTGAGCACAATAATTCTGGCAATAAAAGTTTGACCCAGGCATCCAGAGACAGAGAAGGTAAGAAGCTAGTGGTGGAAAAGAACTGAGCTAGATGGACTGAGAACAGCAGCCATTTGCCTCCAAAGCTCCACTCATGAAGTTTCACTGCTGCGTGTTGTATATGCAAATTTAGGCTTGCTAATTGGCTCCCATGGCCATACCTTTCTTCCAAAAAAAACCTGGCTCAAGAACACAAAGAAAAAGAGAAGCAGCCCGTGTATTTGCATAGCTACATTAATTATCAATGACAAAGTGAGTGACTGCCTGAAAAGAAGACTGCATGACTTTCAGCCTAGCAGGCAGCCCCTTCCTCCACTGCACAATGCACAATAAAGGTAATTAGTACAGACTAACATACAGAGTGTCCTGAAATCATTTTCCCCACTGCTGCAACGTATTTCAAAATATGCAAGCACAAAAGTATTGTACTTGCATAAAAATGTTTGTTCTGTGAATTCAGAGTGGAGTTTATTGTAATTGATACCATTTTTTAAACAAGTCCACTGGAACATAACATACTGCTGCATTCTAAGGTAAATAAAAAAAGTTCTGTGCTGTTCAATTCCTTCAGAGTTTTCATTATTTCGACTGTTGATCAAGCTTCATGTCAAAACAAGTTCCACCTCAACCCTATGAGAGATCTGTCTAGCTTATAAAGCCAAGCCATTGTTCACCTGCTTCCTGGGGTAGAAGATGTGACATGAAGCAGACAGGAAACAATTTCAGGATGGAAACCAAGTAAAACTAGTTGTGGGAAGACTTGTACTGAATTTTAATAGGACACAGCAGCTCAATAGGTAGCATTTTATAGCCACTGTTTGCTAAGAAAGTTATATATACATAAATAACAGCAAAAATGGGTGTGCTGCTTTCAAATTTTCTCTAGTTAAACACTGTGAATGTAACTACTACTGAAGTACAGTTATGTCTCTTCTTTGCACTGAACTACAATGTGCTTGGAGGATGCTGCTAGCAGGGAAAGGAAGGTGGGGATAAATTCTTTAATAGATTCTTGGAGTTATTTTTTTGACCTTTCCAAAAATAACTATGGTTTATTTTCTTTATTTAAAGGAGCTGCAGTCCTGCCCAAGGTCAATGAAAATCAGACAGCTTAAAAAAGCAGACTGGTAGACAAATAGATATTGTCCAAGGGGTCAAGTGCAGCACATGTTTAAAGAAAGCCTGTAGAGTACATGACTGACAGACACCCACAAACACATTTTCTCAGATAATCTGTATAGCCCATACACTCCATCTTAGTTCTTGGGGTTGTATGGTTAACTCCATCACTATGACCTTCCTGCTTTCAGGGGCCAAAGTATCCAAGTGGTATTGCTATTACCTTAGTTTCATATTGGCTATTACCCTAGTTTCATATTGAAGTAGCCTACTTACACTTTTGATGCTTAGTAGTCAGTAGTACTCTCTACTAAGAGGAGCACCTCAGACAGATGGACCTTATTTTTACAGAGAGCACAAAAGTGCACTGTTATCTTTCTCCTTTTCCAGTAAGTTATATGTAAAAAGCAGCAATCACACAAAAATCACCCAAGCTAGAGAGGACCTTCCTGGAAACTTGGCAAACTATCACCACAAGGGAAGCAGCTCATGGAAGTACCAACTGCTGGCCTTTTACAGAAGGCTGTAGACCTCAACCAAGGCAAAAAAACACATTATGCTTTTCTTCAAAGAAAGATGTGGCAAAAAGATCCTCCAAATGAAATCTGAAATGGAAATCCAACTAAAAAATTAGTCTTAATTACTACAGTAACAATCAGTATACCTCTCTCACTTACAAAGAAAAAAACCCCATGTATGCTTACTTTTTTTGGTTTTTAATTGGATACACTGCAACATATAGTCAATATTAAGACAAGTTCTGCTATTTAATACATTTTTTGTTCTATTCAATAGCCCATTTTATCCTGTTCATCATCACAACCATATGAGAGAGCTGGAAGGAAGCACTGCATTCCCATTGCAAAATAAAACCTTCAAGTCTGTAGAAGGCACTTCAAGTTTTACAAATTTCCTACTGGAAACTTCAATCCTAAGTCTCTAATAACTAAATTCCTCTGCCAACATCTCTTGTGTACATTGTCAGCATTCTATGAATAGACCTGTTCAGGCTTTGATTAGTATTTATAGGTGTACACATCTACAATAAACACTCAGCTATCAGTCAGGGCACCTTTACAGAGAAGAAAGGACAATCAAGATAAAAACTTATTTTTCATAACTTTTCTAACCTCTGTCCCTAATCATTATATTGTGAAAAAGGAAAAAGTAGAGCACAAATTGTTTAACAGTAAGGAATTGTAGACAAAAATATGGCCAGTAACCAAACCAGCCAACTGTACAGTGTTAATTTTTTAAACCACACGCATCAAATGAAACCGAGAACATTATGCTCCTTTCTAAAGGAAAATTTGAAGGAACACCCCCTACTTCAAGTTCCTTGCAATTCTTCCATAGATTATCAGGCAAAAAAAAACCCAACCTAACTTTTTCTAATCTGACAAGCTCCAGCTTAAAGACTTGGCATTTCTTTTGACTTTGTGCATGGTAGAAATAAAAGCACTTCAAACTGACCTCAAATATACTTAAGTAATACAGTTTCAAACACAGTGAAGCAGCAGTCATAGAATCATAAAATCATAGAATCACTTAGGTTGGATCATCAAGTCCAAGTGTTACCCTGACACTGCCAAGTCCACCACAAAACCACGTCCCTAAGTGCCACATCTACTCATCTTTTAAATATGTCAACCACGTCCCTGTGCAGCCTGTTCCAATGTTTGACAACCCTTTGGGTGAAGCAGTTTTCCCCAATACCCAGCCTAAAACTCGTGTGGCACAGCTTGAGGCCATTTCCTCTATCATTTGTTATTTGGGAGAACAGATCAGCCCCCACCTCTGACAGCCTCCTTTCAGGTAGTTGTAGAGAGTGATCAGGTCTCCTCTCAGACTCCTTTCCTCCAGGCTAAACCACCCCAGTCCCCTCAGCTGCTCCTCACAGGAGCTCTTCTTTGGACACAAAATGACATGGGTTATTAATTCAACATAGTTTACAACAGAGGAAAATACTTCAGTCATAGAATCATAAAATCATAGAATCACAAAATCATAGAATCACTTAGGTTGGATCATCAAGTCCAAGTGTTACCCTGACACTGCCAAGTCCACCACTAAACCACGTCCCTAAGTGCCACATCTACTCATCTTTTAAATATGTCAACCACGTCCCTGTGCAGCCTGTTCCAATGTTTGACAGCCCTTTGGGTGAAGCAATTTTCCCCAATACCCAGCCTAAAACTCGTGTGGCACAGCTTGAGGCCATTTCCTCTATCATTTGTTATTTGGGAGAACAGATCAGCCCCCACCTCTCGACAGCCTCCTTTCAGGTAGTTGTAGAGAGTGATCAGGTCTCCTCTCAGCCTCCTTTCCTCCAGGCTAAACCACCCCAGTCCCCTCAGCTGCTCCTCACAGGAGCTCTTCTTTGGACACAAAATGACATGGGTTATTAATTCAACATAGTTTACAACAGAGGAAAATACTTACCTGAGGGTAAGGGTCAACTGTTGCTCCTTTGACTTTATCAGATCTCCTACTCTAAAAGTTGTGCAGCCCAGGAAGCTTCGCTACGAAACAAAGCAGAAAGAAAAGATAAAATCTCCACTAATTTTTGAAGTGTTTATTACTTTTTTGGTCTCAAACTTGGAAATCTTTCTTTGGTACCTAGAAAAACATTACATCCCAAAATACTACACTATCTGCTAGGGATATTTATGTACCTGTAGCATAGTTATCAGCAAATCTTTAAACTCTAGTTTTACAGGCAGGAAGCTCTCTCTTTTTCATTAAAAACAGCCTGACAAAGTAACAGACTGTAAAATGTACAGCCACAGGAAATTTTTCCTTCAGTATAAGCATTTGTATTTTGCATCTTCTACTTTTTTAGTTTCTATGTATTATCTAATATATATTATATATATTATATATATTTTTATATTTGGACTTCTCTGAG